GCATGTATAAGTCCTAGTATCAGTTAACAGTTGAACTCCTGATCCTCAGTTGTTAGGTCCCTTAACAGGTAGAACTGCTTAGTGAGCTGTCACCTGATTGCCAACCTTATCCTAGAACCTTCTAGCTGGTTCTATACTATTCCATGGATACTCCAGCTTGCATCTAATCTATATCTAATCCATATCTGATAAGCGCGTGCCTATTATTCAGAAAACTGTGACAAGAATCAAAGATCAAAAATTGGGTCAATCTAAGCATAAGCAGGTCTGGATGCTCATTATTGTTCAACACAGTCTTGAGGAGGTCCAAGGGTGGTGAGACAGACAATATAGCAAGAGTCTAGTACTGTGACAAAGATGTGATGTTTGCTATTGCTGGAAGGCAGTAGGTGACAGCACAAGAGTCCATTGATAGCATTCACAGGTGTAAAGACTGTTTTCACCACTAGAGAAACTAGCCCAAAACTTACATCTACAAAGTACTTATATACAGTAGGAGTAGGGCATAGGGTAGACATAAAACTTGTCTTGTAGTGAGTATGAAATGATAACTGTAAAATGTGCATAGCATGTGCCCCTACATGCCAAAACGGGAAGAGTCTAGGTAGTGCATCGGCGACAACGCCACAAATGTTGTGTGCATAGGTTGATCAGTGGCCTGAGGTTGGCCTGAGGCTCTTGAAGTCTTCTATGGACCCAGCTCGTGCCCATCAGCTCAGGAAAGCGACTATCGCAGTTACGGTTTAATTTTGCCATAGGCTTTTTGCAGATAGCTGTAATGGCGGTAATTCCAACAGATTCACCCTATGGCACAAACACGGACGACACGAACGCGGACAAGATGAACGCAGACGACTTGGATGCGGATGACGTGGACGCGGAACAGACGGATGTGGACGACGTGGATGTGGAGAACATAGACACGGAGAAGGAGGATACAGCAAACCTGAAGGGTTTCAGTGCAATGATAGCTTCGTTTACTTTCTCACCAACTCAAGCTGCAGCAAGGAGATCACCTCGATTCAGCTCAATCCAGACTCAGGTCGAGGACATCCTCCCATTAACTCAGGATTTTAAGCGGCGCAAGCCCCGCCGCGAGCTCGATACTGCAAGACTCGTCAAACCCAGGTTCACTGAGATGCCGAAGGAAGAAGGTCTGGGTGCGACCAAGGCGCAAAAGGCGAAGGTAACGCTGAAAGCGAAGGTTAAGCGTAGTTACGCTCCTCCGGAAACATACGCTCACCTTCAACCGTTACCGGACTACCTCAAGGAGGGGCTTGATAGTGCGCTCAGTTATCCTTTTCGGTGGTCATCACTCGCTCTGATCGACTGGCGTAGTCTTGTTCTGTGGTATCAAGTGAGTGATGGTTTGTATTGGCTGCTGCACTTCACAACGCCGATCTTGCTTTCTACTGGTCTTCCTGATGCGATTCTGTAGTCCTTCTGTAAAATCCGCCACAGCAGGACATCATTATGCTAATCCGACAAATCACTTCTGGCGCTGTCTCCATCGCTCGGGTACTGACAATGACACTGGCCCTGGTATATTACCCAACGCTGATTGCATTCAGGCTTGACTCCCGCAGAGCAAGCATTACCTCCTTCGGAAGACCACACACTTCCGGAGAGGTTCAACCTCGGCATGGTGTGTCCTATAATGTATGCTTCGTATCTTGCTCTCATTTTCGATTTACATCATTCATCCATATCGTCTCATTCGCGCTCGCGATGACACCCTATTTCGCATGCTGCATGTAGACAAATATCGTAGACCGACCGAGCGCAGAGGTGAATTTCCCGCACAATAGCATTCAGCCCTGCTTCACCTCGTTCGCAGGCAAATGAGTTGTCTCCAGCCGAGATGCGGGCGGGGGTTCCCGTGCTGCTGTCCAAGATCACCCGCTTCCGCCCACGCATCGTCTGTTTCGTCGGAAGGTCGATATGGGAGGCCTTCTATCGCGTGCTCGTGGGTCCACCCAGCTCCCGGAGCCAGCCCGCCACGTCCATCGGCGACGAGACTGAAGGGTTGTCCGGTGGAGCGTCAAACGCGCGCGCGGAAGCCTCAGAAGCACCAAGTGGGAAGACAAAGAAAGCGAGGCCGAAAGAATTGAAGAGACGGTCGCCCACCTCGAAAGCGGCGCGCTTCGACTTTGGCATTCAACCATACAAAGTTGTACACCCAGACAACGGTCAGTGCACATATCACCCCTGCGCTGACATGAAAAAGAGTTCACGTGTAGCGATGGTATATAGACAATTTCACGATACGTGAGACACTCTTTTTCGTCCTCCCGAGTACGTCTGGAAGGGTAGTACGGTACCAGGTACGTTGCACCCTTTTGTCAAGGTCGCAGAGGGTACTGCGCTAAGCCTGCAATCCCGAAGTTGGCCGACAAAATTGCCATGTGTGCAAACCTGAAGCAACGACTTGAAGCACTGACAGCTGGATCATATAGCACAACTGCCATGACCGTAATCCCAGTCGTGCTAAATGAATAATCACATAACAATCGCATGTGTGGAGGACGAATACACTATACTAAATTAGCAATACAATAATATACAACGAGCATTCAGAGCACCAAATCTACACAAAATATAACTCGAAGACAACTTCGCAGATGCATCACTCCTCCATTGCATCGTCGCTCTCCTCGCTGCCACTATCACTCTCACCTTCCGCGACATCCAATGATTCTAAATCAATATCGTGGTCCGCACCCACGTATGAGTCGCAGATAACATAAAGCTTGAGCGCATGGGTGCCTTGAGGTAATGAAAACTCCAAGCGGACGGCGAGGTTCCGGTGCACGGTAACGCGCTTAATCGCGAGTAGCTGGCGTGATTTTGGCTCCCCAATGACAAGCCACCAGTTGGCCAGCTTCTTTTGTGGGTAAAAAGGCGCGACAACGATCTCGTCGTCCGCACCCTCGGTCTCCTCATCTGCATCACGGCTGAGCGATACTTGAATACTGATGGGAGCGCCAGCTGTATAATCGCCTTTCGCGAGCTCGTAGCTGACGTCCAAAGTCGGATATGAGTTCACAAACGTTGCAACGTCGCGCCTGTATGATCGATTAATTGACACTACTGGAGACTCGTATTAGACACGCACATTTGCCTTGCATCCATTTGCAACACTGTGTTTCGCTTGTCGTCTTCCATTTCCATGATATCATAGACAGTTTCGATGCCTGCCTCCTTGCACCGTTGGACAACCTAGAAAGACTCCATAAGCTATTCTGCTACATCCGCGCATGGGCAAATCGCATACATCGGGCTCGAAATGTGGGATTTGCTTGAGTGGCGAATCTGTCTCCCAGCATGCCTGCACGCACATTTGCGATAGGTCCATTGCGCTCAGTGCATTCAGCCAAGCGTTTGAGGACATCACATCCACACATGCCGACAGAAGGTTGAGTACTTTCTCCAAGACCAAGACTTGGTCTGCAGCAAGATCGGGTGGGAGTTGCAACCGGGAAAAGTGTGCTTGCAGAAGAAGGAAAGATTTGAAGTGAGGTGTTTCGAAGTCCGCATTGTCAAGCTTGACTGGGACACGATCGTATATGCGCCGCAGAAGGACATCCTCATGTCTACGAATTGGGATCGTCTCGAATTCTGCCGATGACGACACGACCTCTAGTAGACCTTTCATCTTGGTACGCTCTTTCAGCGATAGGGTGTACACCTCAACCGTAACATCTACAATGTCATCAGTTATGATTGCATGGGCGGCAAAATGTGGACCCACATGAGATGTTGTAGTATGCCGCGATCATACCGAGGTTGAGAGGTGAGACATCCATTTCGTCCTCTGAAAGACAATCAATTATCGCATTGCGCGGGAGCGCGGGAGAACTCCTTACCAATCGTGATGCATTTAGACTGGACAAGATCGTTCAGCGTGTTCTCGACCAATTCCGAAAGATGATCGGACAAATGCTGGTGGCTGACATTGTGGAGGTTATAGTAGTTGGGGTTCTGTGTCATGCGGCGATAGAAATACGTCCATGTCAAGATATCCTGTAACATTCCTGAGTATTCTCCAAAACTTGGGCCGGTTCACATGACCTACCATGGCATCCTGTTTGTTCTCAATAGTCTTGACACCAATCTCAGCCAAGAAGTAGTCGTGAAGCATATGCGTAGGAAGGTGAGACTCGATCGGCAGGCCCTCAGCTAGGAACTTCTTGTAGAAGTCTTTCCGCGTCTGCTGGCACATCAAGACACAACGACTTTTGTCATCTTCTGTGGGCCGACATGCGCGCCCCATCATTTGGAGGACATCCATGACAGGATAATCCACGTATCGATGCTCTTTGCCCTCGTAGCATTGCACGCCCATTATGATGACCATATAGCTCGCCACCGGAAGACTCCAAGCAGTATCCTGCACAGTTCAATTATCAGCAGACAAGTGAAGGGTAAAAAATTAGAACGAGCCTTAGACGCAATAAGGATTTGGATAGCGCCTGATTGAAACAGCCGCTCCACGATGCGCTTGTCTTGCTTACTGAGAGCCTCATGATAATAACCGACACCATGCTTCAGAGTATCGACTAGCCCACTGTCGCTGACGTGGTCAAGGTGGGGCTGCAGATCTTCCTCCTCAATATTGAGGAAACGATTGCCGTTGTCATCTGCGCCGCAATGAGTAAGAAGGTCGTCGGCAGTCAGGCGACACTGTCGTCGAGAGGGAACAAAAATGATGACCGGCTTCGTGGGAGAGTATTCCAAAATAGATAGATAGGCAGGTTTGGACATAGCAATCATCAGAGATGGGAAATGGGGAATGTTGAAGCTTTGCAAATGAATGTCCATGTCCAAGGGACGGGCACTGGAGACATTGTAAGAAAAAAGGCGACACATAGACTGGAGATCATTTACCTAGGCGGGAAATTGAAAATAGCGTGTGATGGAACTCCCATCCATTCACCAAGGTCTCTAGCATTCGCGAGCGACACACCGCATGCGACGATACGGGTCTTGATCTCGGTCTGCGCAGAGACATAGCGAGTGCGTGAGATCACTACCTCGTAAGTGGGTCCGACTTCTCCGCCAACGAGCTGAATCTCATCTGCAATGAGGAGGCCAATAGTCTGCACATTCTTACGTTGACGCCACCTCCTGGAAATGACATCCCACTGCACATATCAATAAGCAGCTGGTTAAAGTTGGATCTCAGAAAAATAACACTCACTTGCGTCGGGGTGCAGACGATCAGATCACCTTTCTCCAGAAGTCGAAGATCAGCACTAGTTTCGCCAGTGAGACTGACGATCTCCTTGCCGCCCTGCAGGTTGCTGAATCTACTCCGCCATTCCGCGACACGAAGATCGACCATTTCTTGGTAGGGCTCAATACACACCGCTCGCTGTTGCTCTCGCTTGCTCCAGAGTCTCAACAGTGCGAACTCAGCACAAATGGTCTTGCCGCTACCGGTCGGGGCGCCGACGAAAACATTCTCGTCAGTCGTGTACAAGGCCTGGAACACCTGAGTTTGGATCTTGTTGAATGTTCGGATTGTCGACGAGTAGATGCTCTCGAACTCCTTGTTGTGGAGCGCAGAAAGTGGCAGAGGCTGCAAGTCAAGAAGGGGTGTAGGTAGTGGAAACTTCTCGGGGAGAATGAGATGCTTGAAAGAGATCGGGAGTCGAGTCTCTGCATGGAGCCAGCGGTTCGAAACCACAGAAATGTAGTAATTGGGTGGTACAGGCTCAAACATTGGCACAGTGAGCGTTACATTATGCTCGTCTTCCGCATACCGTTGGCGAAGGATGAAAGTGTCATGGAACAAGATAATCTCGCCATCAACATCCTCCACGAGGATCCAGAATGATTCCGCCGCGCCGTGTATTTTCTCATCCCATCTAAAGTCGGGAATGATTGTCAAGTCAATGCGGAGGAGGGATCTAGTGATGGGCTGGACTTGAGCCTGCAGTCTAGATAACAGTCAATTCCATCTCCAAATATAACTTATTGAACTACTAACTGGAGCTTGGGGAAATTGTGAACGAGTCGATGCACCAACCGTCCCGCGTTCTGGATGCCGATGAGCTCACCAATCTCTGGAGGATTCTGTATTGTATTTCAGTCAGCATGTATCCCAGTAACTATCCCTTCAACAGTAGTGGCTCACCAAATCGAAGTAACGATACCAAGGCTAAAAGGCAAACATACATAAAAATCGCCGCACAGGACAAGGATATATCACTCACGAACTGCTTGCCTTCGGCCTTTCTGATGATTTCTGCAGGAACGCCTTTGAATTGCCGCAATGGAGTCATCGAGCCCCACCTGAAGAGACGGGTTAGTATGAGCATGAAGGATTTCCTGAAGACTACTTGCATCCGTCTCTCGACCATCTTGCACAGATCTAGGGCAGCCTTGGCAGGAACAGCCCACCCGCGCTTGAGGCAAATCTCCAACATTGCTCGCAGAATGCTGAGAACATCATGAGCCTTGCGTTTCGACAATTTGATCCGGCTACTCACCGACCAGCCGATTGTTGAACATACACCATGTCAGCAACCAGCGCGAATCCTATATCACAGTAAGCAACCGTGTAGATATCTGAGAGTGGCTATGCTTGCCTTCGAGCTTAAGCTGTGAGATGTATGCCTGCAACAAGACATTAATCTTCGCGGCCGGCTCTTCGACGCTCTCCTTGACAGGTATAGGTACTCGCTCGAGCAATTTCCCCAGCTCCAGTTTTTCCTGATGCCAACCCGTTAGAATCAGCAAGCCGAGTCAAATTGTCACGACTTACGTCTTGGCGAACCGGCAAAAGCTTGAATTCATTCGATAACGCGAAAACTCGGAATAGCTCCAATATGGTCATTGACGGTCGTAGGTGCTGGTTGTATGTTGCCATGGAATTGTACGTCACATAGTAGTGAGAAGCAATCCGACCCAACTCGGTCGTCTGGAAGCGACCCGACGCCCGCTCGTACTTGATTAGATGGCACTTCTCCAAAAGAACAGCAGCCGTGTGAACGATATCCGCACGCTTTTGTACCAGAGCCGGGTCGTCCTCGAGATAATCAATCCCAACACTATAGAGTGTAGGATCCTTGAGCATTCGCACGTACCTATCGCAAAATCATGAGCATTAGTAGTAGATATGCGAAGGTGGAAACACACAGGTAGGTATATCCCAGCCATTGCACAGCCTCATCTCGATTCCTGATAGTGCCCAGCACAACCTCAGCGTTGAGATTGTCCGCCAACTTTGACACGAACTGCGACTCGATGGGCAGCTGCTGGTTCATAAGACTCAGGTAGTACTGCAGTTCTGAGTGGTTGGTGATGATAATACCCTCCCCGAAAGTATCGTACTGTGGCCGACCCGCACGACCAAGCATCTGTAGCACATCCTGGGATGAGAGTTCCACCCATCGACCCTTCTCCGGATTGTAGATCTGGGTGCCCTTGATAATGACAGTGTGAGCGGGAAGGTTGACGCCCCAGGCCAGCGTCGCCGTGCAGACTAATACTTGCAAATGTCCGTCAGCAAAGAGCTCTTCGACGAGCCCGCGATCCTCGCGAGACATTCCTGCATGATGAATACCAAAGCCAAACTGCAGCAGATCTTTCAGATTCGTGTCTTTGACGTTGTTCGTCTCTTCCAGCAAGATCTCGCGCGTAGCGCCATCAGGCTTTACGAACTGCGTAATGGTCTCTTTCTCGATGGCCATATCCCGGATGAATCTTGCGGTTTTCGCTGTTTCTTTACGGGAATGTACGAACACGAGAGTCTGGTTCTTCCCAGCCTGGTCGAGTACCTTCTCGTAGCAAACTTCATTCATGACTTGGTAGCGCTTGATGGCCTTCTTCTCCGTGACACCGACGAACTGCTGCTGAAGAACACATGGCCGATACGATGCATCGAAATAGAACAACCCCTTGGATGAATCGACGCGAAGAAAAGTCGCGACATCCTGATAGTTCGGCAGCGTGGCAGAAAGACCAACTAGACGGACGTATTCGTTGGTCTGCTCCATGCGCCTAATTGTCCGCGCAATAATGCTCTCCAAGACAGGGCCGCGCTCATCATGTAGCAGATGAATTTCGTCAATAATGATGAGTCGAACAAGGTTCGTATAGCTGGTGTCGGTGCTCTTGCGGGTGATCACGTCGTATTTCTCTGGTGTCGTTACGATGATCTGAGTCTCTGCTATCTGCTGCTTTGTCATCTGTGCATCTCCGGTCAACTCGCCCACCTTCACACCATAGACCCCAAGACGCGAGCTGAAGTTGCCGACCATCTCTTGAACAAGCGCCTTCATTGGGGCAACATAGATGATCTTGAACGCATCAAGGTCGAAGGTACCGGTTTCTTCGTTCCTGTACTTGCTCAGCTCATTCAAAATGGTCAGCATGGCGACATTTGTCTATGTTGTATACGTCAGCATCTCTTCGTTAGTAGGATTTAATACGGACGTACCTTTCCAGCACCTGTCGGAGCGCAGAGCAGAATTGGCTCGTCCGTGCCAAATGCAATCGGATACAATTTACTCTGAACACGATTGAGATTCTTGATGCCCGGGAAGCCTTCTCTAGCCCAAGGTGGCAACTCGGTGATTGTGACCTGCTCATCCGCAGCCAATGGTTTGTGCTTTGGTGCTGGGACATGAATTTCTTCGTATCCCTTCTTCGCTCGTTTGAAAGACCCCTCCGGCAGCTTGCACTTCTTGTTTGACATCAAATGCCCGCCCTGGCTGAACGCCATACCCTCGAGGTCAACGGTCGCCTTTGGTTGCACGGTAGAACCAGGCTGGAGAGTAGCTGTTTTCGGTACTTCTGCCTTCTGCGCCTCGTCCACGTCCATCGCGTCCACCCGCATTTTTGTCTTCCTGTCACCAGCAAGCTCCCTCAGGATCCAACCAAGACCCTTCTCCCGCATGGCTACCTCGACATTGACACGCTCATCCGCGTCAGAACGCGTAAGCTTCGTACACCAAACGATGACGTCGCGATTTTTGAGAAACTTCGTGATGACATGGAAACTCTGGTACTCGAACAATTCCATAAGCTGATTTTCACAGTCGCGCAGGTTTGATTCAGAACCAAGAATTGAGAGTACTGAAGCAGCTTTGTCTGCGGCAGTGACTGGATCGGGATACACTTCGGTGATTTGACGCTGCACCCAGAAGCCGTCAATGGAGTGTAGCGAAACGATATCTTCGTCGACTTGCGCTTTGCCCTGTTGAGCTGAGGAACTTCCGCCGATGACGAGTTCTTCCTCTCCTTCCTGTGACTCGGGTGGTACCTCCCCCGTCTCCTCAGCTTCTTCATCAGACTCGTCGCGAACCTCAAACCCCTCTTCCTCCTCCTCCTCTTCTTCCTCCTCTTCATCAAAGACAACAGCAACGCCCATCTCGTCGTCAATCTCTGCATCCATACGCTCCATGTCAGGGTCCGCCATAGCCTCGTCTTCGGCGCCGTAGTCCGTGATTTTCTTCGACAAGTTGAGCAACTGCGAGAACGCTTCGTTAGGTATTGATCCCACAACTTCCTCCACCTCCTTTTTCTTGTCAAAATCCTTGAGATTCTCGTTCTTGAGGGTCTCCAACACGGCGTCGGCAGCGCTACGAACGACGTCCTGCGCTTGGTCCCCAAGCACACGATGTACGCTGGATAGGATTAGCTCATAAACCTCCCGCGTCTCTGCTGTGCGCGGTCGGTAAGTCAAACCCTCCACATCCTGCGTCGCCTCAATAATGTCCGTATAACCAAAGCCGGAAGTCTCGGCCGCCCTGCGCTTTGAGAGCTGCTTCTCGGTCCCATCTTGCCTATCCGCAGCCTTTTTCTTCTTCTTATGAAGGTCTTTGGGTGCTTCTCGTTGTATGCGAGAGCCCATGTCCCGGGGGTCAATACGACCCGCAAGCGATGTAGGCGCACCGTCTGGCTCTTTATCTCGGCGAGGCAGGGTAGACCGGTCTGCTGTCAGTACTAAAGAAGAGATAGCAGCATAATTATAGCCTGAGAGATCTCGTTTTCCGGACATAATGACAGAGAGAGGGGGCGCAAGACTGACGAGGCGCGAGACTGACAGTCGCAAAGAGGGCTGGTAAGCGCCCTTGACTTTCTACGTTCCGATACAACGAAATTGGTTATAATATTAGAACTCCGCAAGTAATTAATGATGACATCTGCTTTTTGTAAGCGCGGCTCTGCAAAGTTGTCACCATCTCGTCGGTCTTTTTTATTATTAAAACAATTCCTAATTTATATGAACTCCGTACCAAGAGATACATGCAGAGTGTTCCGAGTCTGTCTACTTGTATATCACTGGAGCGGTAAGCACTCTTCGCCGTCAGGCCCCGAAGTTCCCGGTCATCGAGTGATATTTACCATGTAAGCGGGCCATAGTACAGGCTACAGTTGAACTGACATGTGTACTATGTCGAACTTCTGGCCATGACACGCCATGACTGCACAGCACGTAGTTTATCCTCCTCACCACCACAACCACTTCAACCGAGGCTCATGCTCTCACGGCAGGCAGCACGCATGTTTCAATTTAGCGAGTTTCTCTTCAGACATACTTACTCTTGGAAACGGTAGCATGGTAGTAAATCAATGCATCTTAGCACCGCACAATATACGAGCAATTTGAAGGCACCAGACTCGAAGCCGGCCGTTTCATGCCAAGAAAAACGAATACATACCATCTTGATACGGGAAGGGTCCACCATTGGCCTCTTCATCCCACATTAATCTGGCTTTCTCACACAGGTCCTTCCCTTTCTCGTATTGCTCAACTGGGACCGATCTGTCTCCAAGCTCCCCAACTTTGTCCGTGGTACGTCTGGGCGACGAGGCAGAGTTTTGATATCCTTCTCTTCGTCTTCGGAAATCGAACAGGACACGGGCATTACGGTGGCGCAATGGTGTCCCAGAGGTCATGGATCTCTAACAGATACATAATCTACAACGTGCAGCCGGCTGTCGCCTCACATCCTGATGCTCCAGTACGCTACGGCTCGAAGTTCGTCATATGCAATCGTATGCAGATAGAATTTGTCTTGCGTAGCCAGCCTCAGCTAAAAGCGAAGCATCTCCTACTCCTCATCTGGGCGACTGTTGAAATCTAGAGGTAGCAGCGCAGGTAGAAATTGTGTTGAAGCAGACCCTATTGGCCTAGAGGTCAGAAGCAGAATGACCAATGAGAGCTTGATGTGTATATAAGCGCCAGTAGTGGGTCCTTGTTTGATGTCGAGTGCGCTTCTTGACTGACACGTCCATCTGCTTACCTCCATTGCCACCTTCAACCAACTTGAACCATTTATACGATTGTGGTGCATATTTAACACACTGTATCTTTAGGAAATATATAGTGGCCGACACTCAGATGAATATCTTACGACAGCGGTGGTTGCTCCGTTTGCCCCGAGTTTCTCTGATTCTGGGATGGCGCCCCCTGTCACATGTTGCTGCAGCATCCATCTCTGCTGGTCAAAAGGAACACTTTTACAAGTATACCTCTGGCAGATGGCTATACAATGAGAAGCAGCATGAGCTCCCCTGAGACAGGTTTGCATGTATAGTATTTATACAGTTGATACAGAATGCGTCCTGCACTATGTCAAATTTGACATTGAAAGTGCTCAAGAGATGGCCTGCAAAGCAACTGGTGCTGCTCACTGCACAGAGGTTCAGAAGATAGATGATGGTAAGTTCATCGGTCTCTTAATGACAACCACCACTTATTTTGTTGTCGATGCATATTTTTCCAGGATGGTACAACAAGATCTTCTTGCTGCAATTTGACAATGGTGGTGAGGTGATATTGCGTATACCTTGCCCGATTGCAGGACTCCTCACTGGTCGACTGCGAGCGAAGTGGTGACCATGCAATTCGCCCACGATGAACTGGGAATCCCTACTCCGAATGTGTTCTCCTGGTCGTCGAGGGCAGACTCCGCAGAGAATCAGGTAAGAGCAGAATACATATTCATGGAAAGAGTGCCCGGTGTGAAAGCCCTCGATCACTGGGAGAATATTGAAGAACCCGTGGGCAATCCCTTAACCGCAGATTTGTTCGACATCGAAAACAAACTCAACCGTGTGCAGTTTTCTCAATTTGGAATCTGTACTTCAAAGAAGACCTAGATCCCTTATTGCAGGCTTGACCCCTATTTTCCCCAGGGACTGGAGAAGAAGATACTCTTCAGAGGGCAGCTGAGCGGTACCAAGTTGGTCCCATTGCGGACCGCATGTAGTATCGTGGAGAACGCAAAGAGATGGACTTAGACCGCGGACTGTGTGAGTGATTTCTGTGCCATCGATATCTGTGCGGATTGCTGATGCTATGGATACAGGGTCGAATTACAGCGATTTCATGATAGCGTCCGCAGAGAACGAGCGGACCTGGATCAAGTGCTTTGCTTCCACTAGTCCAGTGAACCAATATTCGCTGCAGCCGGCTGATCCGCAAGTACATCTTCGTACTCTGGACATGTACAAGGCCATCGCTCCTCACATTGTGCCTTCTTCGCCTATGTCCGATGCCACTTTATTGCACCCTGAAATTGATCTGTCAAAAATCTTGGTTTCCGAGTCTGGCCCAGTGAATATCCTTGCCGTAACAAACTGGAGAGGCGCTTATATTGGTCTATATTGCACCCAGCCGCCCTTCCCCACGTTCATGGACCTTGAAGACGGACAGTTAAACATCTCGTTGGAAGCCCTACCTTCGCAGCTACCCTGGATGGTGGAGCCGCCCTCGCAAGTCAAAAGTCTCTTTGCGGAATTGCAGGAGACAATCTACTCTCACCTGAGGTTGGCTGCGCGAAAGAGATACTATGTATATATGACGTTGAAAGACAAGCGTCGAGCCGAGGCATCTGAAGTTCCGCATGCGAAGCATCTTGCGTTACTGCCATATTGGACTGTCAAGTCGTGGGATAGCGGCTGGCTGTACGTCGCAGATTATCTGTTGGAGATTTAAGACCTCTGGGACACCATTGCCCCACTGCAAGGCCCATGCCCTGTTCAGTTTTCTGAAGACGAAAAGAAGATGATTTAAACCTTAGTTCGTCGCAATCTGAGGTACCTTGCTGCCGTTTCAGAGCTTCACGGCAAGGTTGGTACGAAAGAAGACGGGTGGGTCCCAGCTGAGCATTACGAGGAGGCTAAGAATCTGTGCGACGAGGCCAAGATAGAATGGGATGAAGAGGCTAGCGGCGGGCCTTTCCCGTTACAGGATGGGCTGTATTCGTCTTTCTTGGCCTGAGATTTACTAGACAAACAGATCCGGGTCTGCGGCTTTGAAGCGTACGTGTATATAAATATGCAATGCTGAAATACGTACACACGCTATCGTTTCTACGTCCGAAGAGAAAGTCGCGGGCATCTCAAGTTGTGTGAGCACTTCTGAGTCATTCTAGTTTAAAGTGGATGCATGTTTCTTGGCTCTCCCGACGGGCCCATCGAAACATGAATGAGGTAGCTGTGGTGCGTGAGCTCGACTACGGACCGACACGGATCTACGCCAGAATTGTCGATACAATCACGTCGGTATCGCCGGACTTAATTTGCTCATGCTTGGCTCTTACGACGTGCAGTGTCCATATGACACTGCCAAGTTTAGCGTGCAGGCTACTCGTTGGCAGAAGTTGGCATCTGATCTTACCTCACGTATCCCATCTGTGAGCTGGGAGCCTGTACAGACAGCCCATGATCCCACACATCCTCCTACCGGGCTAAGGATCATCGAGGCGAGAAGGTGAAGAGGGGGCGATCGCCCACCCTGGATGCAGCGCAGTTCAACTTCACCCGTACTCATAGTATCCGGACTATGCTGCAGCTTTGAGCTTGAACATCCACCATCTGTTATATGCGGTATCCTCCTTCAACGTCTTTTTTGTATGTCACAGAAGTAGAATACCTGCATTCCACAGAATTAACATCAACGTATCGATCCTTGAATTAAATTATGAATGCCGGTGTGCAACTTGAGTTGGTGAAATGGTGAATGAAGCTATCAAGTCCGCGTTGAATGCTCCTCTCTAGCACCAGTGATGGTGATTTACACATTGACTCAGTATGGCAGCACTTCACGTCAGACTACACACCGGAACTTCTTAATCCCAACATGCAGATTGGTTTCTCGAGCTTTACCCAAGCGCACGCACCCAACCACTCCGCTCCTGTTGTCGCTATCGAGATAACCAAGAAACATCGGTCGTCAGAAATTTCATTGGGAATCAGCGATCTTAATAATAGAACGCATCAATCGTAACGTGAAACAAAACGATACTAGTATCATAATGTGATCGACGAATTGTGGTCCATCCTTTCCTACTCTCCTGGAACAGGTAGTAGAGGAGCCTACTGTCCTGTCTACAGTCGCATAATGAGCTGCTTGACTCCGGACATCCACAGCCCTATATCATCAGTCAACGAGCCCGTCGTAAGGAGGTCCATATGCAATGCCATTGCACCCTCGCGATCATGCGACTCCATGGCTAAAATGTCATTAGAACCACGAAACAAAGAGTAGTCGAGCGATGACATACCTCGGGATAGGATAGTCAATTTTTCGCACACGGATTTTGATAACGTCTCGCAGTTCAGTGCATCGAACAACGGGTTGATTCGGCGTTCAAGATCGTCCATTAGTCGTCGCTGCTGTGGCTGAATATAACTACGTCAACGCGACAGCTCCAAATCGAGAGTTATTCAAATCACAAACCGGAGTAATTTGTTTCAAATGTTCCAGTTGGCCAAAGATGACATCATAAACAGGTCGCATATCCCCAGGAATATGGCTTCGGTCTCCTGGAGCTGAGACACATATGTACAGTCAGCCATAGGCACTTGGGATAGGTTGCCAACAGACTACTCACGATACTTCGGCGGCGGAGGACCTGTTGCACGGGGAGGCGTGGGAGCGGGGGCACCATTACCGATTCGTGACGGGCCCTGAGCACCCGGCGCATTTCCTAATCGCGGAAGTGGAGGTACGAAACTTCCCGGCTGAGGTTGCTGTTGCTGTTGCTGTTGCTGTTGCTGCTGCTGCTGCTGCTGGGGCGGAGGCGGCGGACGCTGCGTGAATTGGGGCTGACCCTGTCCCATCGGAGGGCCTTGCATCGGCGACGGAGGGCGTCCATACGGTCCCGAAGGACCGGGAACGGGGGGACCAGGTGGCGGGGGATGTCCAAATCCTTGCGGGGGCGGCGTTGGTCCGGACATTGATCCAGAAGGAACGCCGTACGGGCCGGGCATAGGTGCTGGCGGAGCCCGTGACATCCCAGGAGCAGGGGGAGGAGACATCATCGCAATGCGGCCGGGGGGAGGTGCAAGCGGATGTTGGCCAGGGCCCGGAGGTCCCGAGAGTGGGCGCGCGGGGTACGGACCAGGACCGGTCGGTGGTGACAAAGGGAGGCGTTGCCCCTGTGAATGGGGGGGAGGGCGATTCTGCACACTCCCAGGTCTTGGCGGCGGCGGCAATGTAGGAGGAGGTTGACCATGCCCAATAAAGGGTGATGTTGGAATACCTGGCGACGCAGGGGCATTCGGGAACGGCGAAGTAATCGCTGCCGGTCTGTTGGCACTACCTGTCGGGCGGCGCTGGCCAGGGAGAGACGGTGCATCATTCCAGCCCCCGTTGTCCCGCTTCGGAGGCGGAGGCGGCACAGATGGCGTACTATTCACAGCGCGGGGCGGAGGAGCCAGGATATTGGTTGGGGGAGCCTGGTGAATGGGCGCATGCTGAAGCTGTGAGGGAGGCTGAGCGTACGGACCAGCGTTATAACCAATAGGGGCAGAAGGCTGATATGATTGTGCAGGCGGCTGCGCAGCCGTCGTATACTGATGCTGAGACTGTGATGCAGCGGTCGAGCCAGACAGGTTATATGGCTCGTAAATCGAAGTCGACGCCGCCGGTGCTTGGGGAGCAAACGAAGGCTGACTTGGCGCAGAATACGACGAGTAGCCAAATCCTGAACTGGTTGATGCTGCGGGAGCGGCCTTCGATGTAGGGGCATTAAGTGAGACACCCCTCGGCGGGAAAGCCACGACCCTGGCGGCCTTTAACAGACGCTCCCTACCCACTGTGAAGTCCAACGCAGAACCAGCTGATCCATTATAGCTTTCGGGTGTCAGCTTGAGATACTCTACGGCTTCTTTCACCATGCCTTGAGCGACGAGCAGGTCAGCATATTCGAAGTAGCGGTCATACAGACTTGAGAGCCTGTATGTCCGTGCATCAGCATCCTCGTCATTGGAGACCTTTGCGCCTAAATCTATATCCTCATAATGGATAGCGCTGCGGAATACTGTAACTTTCTCGATGAATGTTTGCAAAGCGAGTGCATGAGCAGTGTATAGAGAACCGTGCAAGTCTTCGTCTGCAGAAAGCACCCTCTCCTCATCTGCCAGCTCCTCAATCCAGATATTAACGAGTTTCTCCAAGCGACCAGCAGCAAGATAAGTCAGCGTCGCATTTCTTCGATATTCAGCAGCTCTGTCTTCGGCATCATCTACTCCAGAAGTATGAGCAACCCTTGATTGGAATTCGAGTCTCTGGCCGAGTTGTTCCGCTAGCCCAGAGAATTCATCCTGAGTAGCGAAGGTACAGAGGATCACGAAAATCTCCTGCCACTCTTGCAGATCTGCGTTTTGCACAATGTCTGCTAAATCATTCGTGACGATAGACTGGAAGAGGCGTAGGTAAGGCAGAGAAGTGGTTTGGCGCTCGAAATAAGCCTTCTGCGTACGCTGCAACAGCTCTGGGCCACCCTTGACTGCGAGAAGAATTGCGTCGGCGAAGCGCGAAGAGGAAAGACATAACGAGACTGCAGATTCAAAATCACCAAGAACCAGGGCCTTTGTTACAAGACGGTCGGTCTCCGACTCGTCAATAGGGTAAATCTTGAACGTGTTACTCTTCAAAGTCTCAGAAGCTACAGAGGATGGTCCAGAACCAATTGTCGCAGCGACCGATGAATCAAGCGCATAATTTGTGTGTGGGATCTGAATCCCATCGTCTGCAGACCGGGCGGTGCCAATGCTCCCGAAGAAATCTGCTGCGGCATCGGCCTGCGCAGTACCGATGAGCTCGTCGCCAAATAGACTGGGTGCAGTAGTCGTCGATTCACCGTCTGCAAGAGCTGTATTCGTGTTATCTGATGCCGCGCTAGCGCTCACCTCCGACGGAGTAGCCTCCACCACACTGTTTGCATCTAGCGTGTCGTCGCCATCATCCTCTCTTTCGCCCTCGTCGGACTGGACCTCACTCTCCGGCTCCGCGAAAGACACGACAGGGGGTTTGGGATCTGTCTCAGTGACATCATCCTCTGCTGACGACTCGAGACTCTCTGAGGCAGCCTTTAGATTGGCCACGGCATCAGCTACGCGCACCGCAACTTCCTCTTTCGAGAAGCCCAGTAAGGTAATCAACTCATCCCGGGAGTTCGCCTTGAATAGGCTAAGCAACGCCTTCCAGCTGGCAGATATTTCAGCGGGCTTCTGTTCGGCCTCCGTAGTCTTTTCCTCTGCAAAGGCGTTCAATGACTCGCCATTGATAGCTGCTTGGAGTTTTGTCGCTCGTTCAACAATTTCCGTCTCTGTGATAACCTTGCGGATGTGCACGACACTGCTCTGTGTCTTTCCTTGAGCGCCGGGCAAGTTGGACACGCTCACCAACTTCCCACCATAACTGAATGAGCTAGCAACGGGGCGACGCAACCACTTCGGAGGCGTCTTGAGTGAAAGCGTCGCTTGGGAAGCACGGGAGAAACTAGAAGCACCGAAGACATCAGAACCATCTGGTCGAGGTGTGGCCGGCAGTAGCCCGTTCGCATCATTGGTGGATTGTATCGAATGAATTCCGACGGTACCATCGAAGAAAGCCGTCGCGAACAAATCGGGGTTACGAGGGCACCATTGCACCTGGAATGCCCAGTTGTCTGCAGAAGGAAGCTATGGGGGTATTGAGCAACAATTCAAAACAGCTACTTCAGACACATACCTCTCCAATGATCTCAGAGGTCTGAGGGTTCCAGCATAGCGCCCGGTTGTCCTTGCCGCATGAAAGTAGTAAATCTGGATCTTGCTTACACCACGAGAGAGAGAGAACACCCTTCTCATGGCCTGTTAAGATCTGGCATTTTGTTAATCGGGTTCAAGACGCGCCGCTAACACTGAATGTACCTTTTCTGGCGCACGAGCATTGCGAAGATCCCAAACCATAATAATTGGGGATGTATCATCTTCTGATGCTGTGACGAGTCGCGTAGCCTGGCGGAAGTCACTCAGCACTTGAACAGCAAGGTCGCGAATGCACACGTACATTGTCAGGATGCCATGCGACGTCACTCATGCCCCTTCGTCCACCCATTGCCATACTTGCAGCTCCAAATCCTTGTGCACCACCAGCGAGCGTGCCGGCGCCACCACCGTATGCCAGTGCGGCCACCTCGCGTTTGCCTCTCAGGTCCCAAACCACGGTGTATCCAGTACTGCTCGATGCAGCGAGGGCATACTGAACGTGGTGGTTCCAAGCAAGTGCGGTGATTTCGTCAAGCTTAGTGCTGCGTGTTCCAGGCGAGTAGGGTTTGCTCGGGTCCTTAAGATCCCAGATATATATCTGCGGAACAGCATATAAGTTAGATTCATTGACATGCATCGCAGACACGGAGGAAAGAGTCGTGGCTGTTCCGGGGGATCAATTAAATACTTACTTCTCCATTGACGGCACCGGACGAAAAGAGATTCGTCTGAATAGGGTTGAAATCTAATCCGCGCACAGGTCCCGTGTGCGTTTTGTTGCGCAGTATCAAGGATTCGGATGGACTGGTGCACGTTGTGTTACCGATGGACGTAACGCGTCATATAACTTGTGGGTACTTACTCTGCATTTGTAACAATTTTGGACGGATCCCAGATGTCCAGCTCGCCATTCTCCATCCCGGCCACAATGATACCACTCGCGCGTCCGCCATCAGCATAGCCCCACGCGAGACGGTTGAATCTACGTTATGGGAAATAGGGCACTGAAATCATCAAGAATAGACGTAATTCACATACCTTGAAGTCGTTGTCACGGAAGCTTTCGGCCCCGCCTGACCCTCTCCACCAAGGTCAAACTGGTTTTTGTCCAAGAAGTCCGGAGCCCATATTTCCAGCTGACCATTGTTGCTGAATGACTCGTCCAGCGCCCCGGCGACTGTCCCTGTCGCCAGCAGTGGTAACGAGGGCGATGGCGACCACGCAAACGTCGACGTCCTGTGGATCTCCTTAAGCTTCATGATGTCGTTTGAGTGAAACTAGGGTCGACGTGTACCGCAGAGAGTTAGCGGCACTGACTTGGATAATCACAATAATTTAGTGGATCTTATCTTGTGTAAACTGTATTCAACAAAATGTTTTAAAAAGTCCAGTTGTGTGAGCCTCTTCCTCTTTCTTCTACAATTTATTATGTGTTTTGGGGGGTAGCCACAAAGTTCTGGCTAAGCTGAGAATCAATATATTATAGGGACAGGACGAATTAAGTGCTGCTTTAAGATGAATAGACCGACCTTAAGAGTTGCGCTGATAAAGCCTTTAGGCTATCTACCACGTGCATAATTATGCTTTGTTTTTGCGCCTCGGGAGTCGGCGACCTCACTCGGCAACCACTGGGCGGACTGCTACGATTCTGAACAAACTCATTGTCACGAACGACCACAACGAAAATTCAGAAGTTCAGAAGTCTTGCGGGTTATATTAGGAAGATCACACTTGCTCGGCGCGCGTGATGCAAGCACTGAGGCAGGAGATACTACCTCCGAGCGGCGTAGAGTTTTCTGCTTGTCTCAAATTAACACCTTCGACTCTTTGGGACGACAAGTCGCCTAGTTCAAGTACAGGAGGTGGACGAGCTCTCTTCAATGTTGTAGTCGCGCGCTCCAATCTCCTGCGCATCTTCGAGGTCAGGGAAGAGCCAGCACCGTTTTCGACACAGAAGGAAGATGAGCGGGACAGGCGCGCTAGCATGCGAAAGGGAACGGAAGCGGTCGAGGGCGAGGTCGAGATGGACGCATCGGGCGAAGGTTTCGTGAACATGGGCTCGGTCAAGGTGAATTTGGATACCAGCTGTTGTCGTTGCAGGAAGTCAATGAGATTGTTGTTCTTCTCTATTTTCTGCTTCTCGTGAGACGTGTGCCAGTGCTGTCGAACGCTGACGACTGCTTTCATATTGTCCTAGTCAACTGGGCAGAACGGTATTCTGCACCAACCAACAGTCAATCGGTTCTACCTCATCCGCGAACACCGCTTACACGGGATCGTCACCGGCATTGAGGGTGTCAGGATCATAACCTCGATTGAAGACAGCTTCGATCGCTTGCTGGTGTCTTTCAAAGATGCCAAGGTATGTATTGTTGATTGCTCTCTCTAATCTTTCTACTAAAGAGCCGTTGTAGATTGCGCTATTGGAATGGTCGGAGGCCATGCACGACCTAATCACGGTCTCCATACATACATATGAGCGTGCTCCTCAGTTGGTTTGTGCCTCTCCGACTATTTTTGTACTATGAAGTCTACTGAACTGACTTGCTTAGATGGCGATTGATGCTCCCCTTTTCCGTTCACAATTACGTGCGGATCCACTCTCTCGTTGTGCGGCGCTTTCATTGCCCAAAGATTCCATTGCTATCTTGCCATTCTATCAATCCCAAGCAGAACTTGATATTATGGAGCATGAGACAAGTCAAGCCAGGTATGTTAATGTTTACTATGTAGCTATCCTATTTATGACATTCATAGGGATGTGCCGTACTCTCCGAGCTTCATTCTCGACTTGTCCGCCGACGTTGATACACGTATCAGAAATGTGATTGACTTCGTATTCCTGCCTGGGTTCAACAGCCCCACCATCGCCGTTCTTTTCCAATACCAACAGACCTGGACAGGGTAAGCTCGCCCATCGACTAGAAATAGAATTAGTAGGCTGACAAGTCACGTATAGTCGTCTCAAGGAGTACAAGGACACCGTTGGGCTGATTCTCTTTACTCTCGACTTGGTAACCCGTCATTACCCGGTAATCACTGCAATTGATGGCTTGCCTCACGATTGTTTCGCAATGGCGCCATGCTCAACAGCGCTGGGCGGTGTGGTAGTCCTCGCCAGTAACAGTATCATCTACGTAGACCAGGCGACGCGCAGAGTGATCCTTCCCGTGAGCGGCTGGCTGCCGCGCATCAGTGACTTGCCTATACCCTCGCTTTCTCACCAGGATCAACAGCGCGACTTACAGCTTGAGGGTTCGCAGTTTGTATTCGTGGACGACAGGACGCTATACGTTGTTTTGAAGGACGGAACAGTGTATCCCGTGGAAATAATCGTAGATGGTAAGACTGTGTCCCGACTGTCGATGGCGCCTCCTGTGGCACGAACGACCATGCCGTCACTGGTCAGAAAAATGCAGGACGACTATCTCTTTGTCGGGAGCATCATAGGTCCGTCTGTGCTACTGAAGACCACGCGAGTGGAAGAGGATATCGAAGGTGATGACGTGGAAATGGCTTCGGTGCCTGCAACTGTCGTTGCTCCCAACAATGCCATGGATTTAGATGACGATGATGGTGAGTTCAAACTGTCTACACAACCAACGCACTTCTCATTCGAGGTCTACAGATCTATACGGGGGTTCGGCGGTCATTGAGCAACCCCACATGAACGGCATCACACAAAACGGCTCTACTGCCATATCTAAGAAGAGGACGGTTGTTCAATTGTCGTTCTGCGACTCTCTACCTGCGTACGGCCCGATTGCCGATATGACCTTCACGTTGGCTAAGAACGGTGTAAGTTGATCCTTCTGATAAGTGTTTTGGGTGTTCAATGAAATGCTGCCCAGGATCGGGCGGTCCCGGAACTGGTTGCCGCTACTGGCTCCGGAATGCTGGGTGGATTTACGTTGTTGCAGGTACGGGCCCGTACGATGCGCCATGAATGAGCGCTGATCATTACCGTGCCAATCTCTCCCAGAGGGATCTTCCGACACGGACTAAGCGCAAGATGCATGCCATTGGCGGTGGACGTGGGATCTGGTCGCTCCTCGTACGCCAAGCCGTAAAGGTCAACGGCTCGACCTACGAACGGCCTGCCAACCCTTACCATGCAGAAAATGACTCGATAGTTATTAGCACAGATGCAAACCCTTCCCCCGGCCTCTCTCGTGTACGTCCTCGGCCACTATTGTCCGATGAGCTAACGCCATATTGTATTCTCTTTAGATTGCGTCACGCAATGCGCAGGGAGACATCCAAATTACAACCCGAATTCCGGGAACTACTATTGGAGCTGCGCCGTTCTTCCAAGGCACCGCTATCCTGCACGTCATGATTAACGTTACAAATGTGATCAGAGTCTTGGAACCCGGTAAGTCCACATGCGAATTGTGTCCAGCACGTTCATTCATGCACTCAATAGACGGGACCGAGCGGCAGGTCATCAAAGATTGGGATGGGAATATCCCTCGACCAAAGATCAGGTTTTGCAGTATCTGTGATCCCTTCGTGCTGATTATACGAGACGACGACTCAATCGGCCTGTTCATCGGTGAATCAGAACGTGGAAAGATTAGACGAAAAGACATGTCTCCGATGGGTGAAAAGGTGAGGCACACCCCATGAAGTCTGCAGGCTGCCTACATTTGTCCCTAGACGTCCCGCTACCTCGCCGGATGTTTCTTCACGGATACCAGTGGAATATTCCAGGTTCATCAGAACGCTCAAGCCGCCGGGATCGAAGGGGCTACCTCCACGCTGCAGTCGGTTATGAATGCTGGCAACAGGACACAGTGGCTCATTTTGTGTCGTCCGCAAGGTGTCATCGAGGTGGAGTGTGCTACAAAGTAGACGCAGATCGGGTGTACTAATTCCCTCTCAGATCTGGACGCTACCCAAACTAGGCCTGGCGTTCTCGACGACCCATGCTGCTGGATTAGAGTCGGTATTGACCGACTTGTATGATCCTCCCGCATTGTCAGTCCCCCAGGATCCACCGCGCAAGCCCCAAGAACTTGACATAGAACAGCTATTGGTAGCACCGCTTGGGGAGTCGTCACCACGCCCTCACCTCATGGTAGGTCACGAGTCGGACGTGGTAATCATTAACATGCTCATGGTGGCGTGTCGCAGCTGTTTTTGCGTTCTGGGCAGTTGGCAGTTTATGAGGTGCACTCAACCCCTGTGCCAGCTGAACCGCTTCCTGCCGCGCGCTCATCCACACTGCTCGTCAAGTTTGTGAAAGTGCTTTCCCGTGCGTTCAACATCCAACACTCCGATGAAGTGGAGAAATCCGTGCTGGCGGAGCAAAAACGGATTTCTCATCTCCTGATACCGTTTGCTACCTCTCCTTCCCCCGGTCAGACGTTCTCCGGAGTATTCCTGACAGGCGATCGTCCCTCCTGGCTCTTGTGCACGGATAAGGGAGGCGTGAAGGTTTTGCCCTCTGGACACTCTGTCGTTCATGCGTTTACGGCGTCGTCCGTGTGGGAATCCAAAAACGACTTTCTCCTGTACTCCGAGGAGGTGAGGCGACGCTCTGTGTCCTTCTGCCGCCCATTCTGATGACGTGTGAAGGGCCCCAGCTTGATGGAGTGGCTACCTGATGTCCAGCTAGACGGCCATCTGCCATCAAGGTCTGTGCCTCGCCCCAGGTCGTATTCAAACGTGGTGTATGATCCCTCCACCTCCTTGATTGTGGCTGCCTCGTCGCAGCAATCGAAATTCGCTTCGTACGATGAGGATGGCAACATAGTATGGGAGCCTGATAGTGAGTAGACTGCATATCTGACTTGCGGAGCCACATGATCCTGATGCATGCGCAGCAGCCAACATATCGTTTCCCAGCTGTGAGTGTTCAGCGTTGGAGCTGATCTCCCCGGAAGGGTGGGTCACAATGGACGGGTGAGTGAATTCACTTACACCTCCTCGACGCGGCGCTGAGGGCGTACTGCCAGGTATGAGTTCGCTCAGAACGAGTTTGTAAACTGTCTTGACTGTATCACGCTGGAGACAATGAGCACTGAGACGGGCACGAAAGACTTTATTGCGGTGGGAACAACTATCAATCGCGGCGAAGATTTAGCGGTCAAAGGGGCGGTATGTCTCGGCGATTAAACGTGTATGGTAATGAGCTCACTTAGCCATATTTCCTTGTAGGTGTACATCTTCGAGATCGTCGAAGTCGTGCCGGATACAAACTCGGGTCTGAAAAGATTGTACCGCTTGAAACTTCAATGTCGAGATGACGCCAAAGGTCCCGTTACAGCTCTATGCGGTATGGACAACTACCTGGTTTCGTCCATGGGCCAAAAGGTACGTGTCTCGAGCTTGAGCTTGGTGCGTACTCGGTGTAGCTCACCTCGCACTCAGATCTTCGTGAGAGCGTTTGATCTGGACGAACGTTTGGTCGGGGTTGCCTTCCTCGATGTTGGTGTGTTCGTGACCTCTCTGCGCTCCGTGAAGAATCTCCTCGTCATCGGAGATGCCGTTAAGAGCGTCTGGTTCGTTGCTTTTCAGGTAAGCAGGTTGCACAGGACCACACTCGCATATTCACGTCTCGGGCAGGAAGATCCATATAAGCTCGTCATCCTTGGGAAAGATCCGTATCATACCTGCGTGACCTGCGCTGATCTCTTCTTCGCTGAAAACCGTGTCTCGTTGCTAGTCTGCGATGAGGATGGCGTTATTCGACTTTTGGAGTATGACCCTCATGGTACGTAAAACCGTTCGGTACCCACTTCCTTGGTTGCCTCATTGTCTGATCGTATCTTAGATCCCGAGTCCAGAGGTGGTCAGCATCTTTTGCGCCGCACGGAGTTTCATGGACAGACGGAATACCGTACTTCCGTGCTGATAGCCCGGAGGAAAGACAAGGATATTGACATTCCTCAAGCTAAGCTGGTTTGCGGTATGAGATTCATCTCCCTGATCGGAGTTAGATTTGATGAGTCCCGATAGGGTCTACCGATGGTTCGCTCGTGTCATTCACATTCGTTGAGGAAGCCGCTTTCAAGGGGCTTCATCTTCTGCAAGGGCAGTTGACTCGAAATGTTCAGCATGTGGCCGGCTTGAATCCCAGAGCATTCCGGTGAGCATTATCGCCGAGCTGGAAAGGACCAAGCCACTGATGGATGTGGTAGCATTGTCCGGAATGACTATGTCTCGCGACCTCTATCCAAGGGTATATTAGATGGGAACCTGCTAACCACATTTGAGGAACTGCCCATTGCGCGGCAGAACGAGATGACACGGCAGATTGGGACAGAGAGAGCGACCGTGTTGAAGGATTGGTTGAGCCTGTGCGGCGCTTGGTGAAAGTACGATATCTACACGTAATAGTCTGCTGTATTTCAAGGTTGCTATTTTTCAGATTGTGGGTATCTGCGACAAAGTTGCGGGGCGTGCGACATGCTGTTGAGATCTTAAGAAGCCACGCGCCACTGATAGAACGAGGCCGCGCTCTCCGGTTCTGTGCGTGCCACACCGAATGCACAGTGCGCTGCACTGCAACCGCCTGCACGTTAATCGCCATGGCGTGCCCCAGCCTTGCTGGTAGGTCGTGCAGTCTGTCAGTCTGCAGCAACGCCTGCTTGTGGATGCTGGACTCAATCTCGATGCCGGCGCGAGTGGCATACGCACTGGGGGGATCGTCTCGGCCAGCTATGGGCTCGCTTCGAATTCTTCCGCCATGACGAATGTGAGTTTTGCGTCACCTCCGGGGACTGTTCCCGCATCACCATCAGTTATAGATTGCAATTGAAGCAGAGCGCGGCTTGGCCGGGGCTGGTCGTCAGCGGCCCTTCACATGTCCGAGCTTTCCTACGCCTGCAGGCTAGGGCCAATGGGCCCGCGAACATGCCCGTGAAATTAAAAACTCGTGCCCCGAAGGCATACACGCTACCTGCCCCTGTCCTGTTGATATAAGTCAAACCACGGCTCCCTGCCGCTATGTTCTTACCTGAGGTCTGCACTTTAAGTTATGCTATCCACTCTTAGCCCGGACGCCAAACTCCCCGCAAAGAATATTCGCAGCGGGTCATCCAAGGCAAGTCAGACAGTGTCTCCGTTCCAAACAGCGGTTGCTAACCTAGCAACAGTACTTCGATATGTCACGAGGCTTCTCCGTTCACTTCCTCAAAAGCACGCCCTCCTCTACCCATCCATACAGCTCGTCCAGAAAATCTGACAGCCCCCAGGACCGTTCAAATGGGTCGACCTGGACGAAGCAGAGCGGGTACTCATCGCGCCCAGAATTCGAGAGGAAACCTTCCACCACATCTACGTCCGCCTACCGCATTACCGAGCCGGTCGTTTATGAACTACCATTGGAGCCCAAACGATCCAAGACTCCAAAGAGCTACGGGATATACCCAAGTGCCAGTAACGACACGTATATTTATGAACGCTCGCTCTCCTCCGCGTCTGACGCACTAGCCAGCTCGTCGTCGTCATCCAGCTCAGATGCTGATCTGCAGGCCGAAGGTGTAGTGCCTGCACCCATCGACGTTTCATCCACCCGTGCCAGCTCCAGCACGGAGACTCTAGAGACAACAGCGCTCAGAGTCGCATACCCCACGCCTCAAAGTCGCCCTGTCCTCCCTCGGTCGACGTCTTCTTCCGAATGGGCACGCATCACCCCGGACGGTTCACGAGTATACCCTCCGGGACTCCCCTCCAGGTCGGAGAACGCCTCGTTGCGCGCAGGCGTCCCCACGAGTATGGCGTTGCTGCCACGCCCTAGCACCGTGCGACCTATTTATGACGACGACGACGATGACACCCTCGCAGAAGACGAGATCGACAGGCCGCCTCCGATGACACGGAGGTCGTCGAGCTCAGGTGCGAGGGACGAGAGCCTGCGGGACGCACGACCGACAGGCTTTGCAGGACCCACAGTGAGGTATTCCGACGAACGATCGGGTGCCCAGCAGGTCCGCGCCAGGAAGAATTCTGACGATTATAGATACCCACTCCCACTCCAATACGGCACACCTTCCCAATACCGCCCTGACAACGCATTAAACTCGCGTGCCCCGTCTGGAACGTCCCCTCCTACCTCTAAGATGGTAGACGGACGTGGTCCACTCGGAGCTTCCGGACCACCCAACTTCGCGTCCTCCAGCACCCTGCCTGACGGTCGCCGCGTGGTCCAGGCGGTCCCTTTAACAAGGACTATCAGCGGCAGCCGGCCTGTCGACATCCCGTCCTCTACCATGGGCGCACTAGCACGCACTGGCGCAACCAAGCCCAAGAGGTCCCCGCCCCAATCGCCCACAGAGCCGCTGACACGGACGCCGTCGTCTCGCGCAGACACCGGGGGGCCGCTGACGAGATCTAACAGCACTACTTCTCCGGAGATGCTCATGGTTTCTACACGACGCTGTGTGCGGTGGACAGAGGACCTGATGTGCCCGTGTCCGGTTCCTCGCAGCGAGCGTCGGAGAGGGTGGTTCAATCGCCGCGGGTAAGCATGCTCCAGCGAATGATCATATCCCCTCTCTCACCCTTGGATTATGACAGGGACCAGCTTTGGACCAACGACGGCAAGTACAAGCAACCAGAGCCGGGCACCGAATACCCTGGGGACCTCATCGTGAGCAGCCTCGTCTCCTCGCCGTCTGCGCTGATCTGATCACCTCTCGACAGGGATACCCGGAACCCATGACCGGCTGGATGAACGAGGAAGGGGTGCGCATCGATATGGAGCATCGTCTCATTCCGAAGCCGCCCATCCGTTCTGCGCTGAAGCGGCCAAAGGGCGCGCTGGGCACGCAGTAGGCAGGCCCGCGCAGCGTCCGATCTGCTAAATATACATATCAGTATGTAAGTTAACCGCAAGGACTAATATGCGCCTGCCTCGCGCGCAGGCTTCACGCGTCACGACCTATGTATCTAGTTGTACACGACTCTGCGATGTCATTCATGGTATACCCGTTAACGCCTGTCATTCCGAATCTGTAATACAAATGACCTCTTCGTCGTCGACTAACACGGCTTTGCTCGAAGAGGGCACCGGTCTATCGGTGTTGGTGCACAACCTCTTCCTGGGTGGACCCGGCCCACGGAGTGTCATCTGCCACCCAAAGTCTTCGTCCTCGCTTTCATCTTCGACTTCAATTTCGACCTTCGTACGTTTATCATCTCTGGGGTTAAGGTCGATATCATCAGTGTACAACCCAGTGTCGTCTTGGTCAAATATCTGGTCGTATGGATCGTCAATGGCTACAGGACTCCTAGTGAGTCTCCTGCGCTTCAGCCCATTTGCTTCCAGACTCTCCCCGCCCGTCGCTTGCGTCTTCTTGTGCGACTTTATTGACTCTCCCTTCTTTTTTCGCGACTTCTTGAGAAAACAGTACTCCATTTCCGGACCCTTACCCTGCTCAATGTCTTCTCGACTAAATCGACTCAGGCGCACCGCTTTGGCGCCCGCAACGACGTATACGTTGATGCCGTAGGACTGCGAGTGATACTCTTCCTTCAGATATCCATTGATCAGCATGTCGACGCATAGGGCTTCCACATCCTGTACACCATTTGTGAGCATGTAAATCATTGTCGTCAATTGAAAAGGTATGCTCCGCAACTCACATCATTAGACAGCTCCACCGCGCCACCCGCGATCTCGTCCAAATCCATCCCAGCCTTCTCCTTTCCTTTTCCCTTAGACGCTGCGCTCGAGGTCCCGCTACTGCGGCCTCGGGCGACCGAGGCGAGCTGGTTGATCGTGAAACGTTTCCCAGTCTGCTGTGCGACCTCTGCGACGCGCAGGATCTGCCACGCAGGGAGTCTTACATCCCTGCGCACGAATCCGTCTGAGCCGCGTGTGCAGTTGTCACAGTGGCCGCACGGCTCCAGAGCCCCTTTCTCCTCCGTACTCCACGAGCTCATCGATATCTGTGAAGACGACGAGAAGTACCTGTCGGCAGCGTGGTTAGCGCGAGGCCGGTAGGCTAGACGAGCGCAGCGCACTTTGCAAATAGGATATTGCGGCACTCGGTCAGGGTTTGCGCGAATCGCAGGATGTCGTGTACTATTTCATCGGATATATGAGCCGCAGCCGCACACGCTAACCCGCTCTGGGGCGCAGCGGCGCAAAGCTGGAGACGCACTTTTTGCCCGCGACCCCTTCTCTTGAACAGTCAGCTGGGAAAGCCGCGTGAAATCCTGGGGTCTGTAATAGAGCACACAGTCTGCATCATGACCATCCCGACCGGCTCGACCTGATTCTTGGTATAAGCCCTGGACAGACTTCTGCGTAGACCAAGTTAACTGTGCGCTCGACTGACAGCAACAACCACGAACTGGTATCTGCACATACATTCTCAGCGATATGATGAAAATGACGACTGGCGGAAACTTACAGTGTGATGCAGGACAAATCGTACATCTCCCTTGTCAATGCCCAGTCCGAACGCTACCACGGCCCATCAATCATGGGTGAATGCATGGCGGGGGAGGCTGATTACCGATAGTCGCGCAGACAACTTTCACAAGCCCTTGCCGCCATCGCTGATGCAATGTTTCCTTCTGCGAGTCGCCAATGTCTGCGTGATAAACTCCCGTTTTGATCCGGCGCTCGCTGAGGTCTTCAGAGACAGTTTCCGCATCCTATAGACCAACGACATCAGACCCCGGGTAAGATGGGGAGTTACAGTGTCCAAGCCCACCTTCTTAGAGAGGCAATATATAATCCCGGAGTGATCTGCGTGATGCTTCATTATGTAGTCGGCCATGGCATTCATCATCTCCTTGTGCGACATCGGCTTTGGAAGTACAGAGTAGTGCAGGTTCTTCCTGTATAGTGGTGCCGTAAAATAGACAGTACCGTCCACCCCAGCTCCTTCAGAAGAATAAGGCATTGCAGAGCAGCGAGACGTCGAGGACTCACGGTCTCCATGGTGCAGAGGCTGCTTCATTTGCAATACGTCCATAAGGTCCTGCATTACTTTCGGCGGACACGTAGCCGATAACGCAAGAATGGGCACTTTCGGGAACACTTTCCGCAGAACATTGAGTTTCTGATAGTCAGGTCTATGTCGCCGATCAGATCAGCATGTGAAAACCCGCAGCGAAGCGCATATACCTGTAGTCGTGACCTGCCTCTGAGACGCAGTGCGCTTCGTCTATGACGAATCGTTCTAGCGATTTATGGCATTCAGTGATTGCATAAGCGACCACGCAGCGGAATGCATGTACCTAGCTTACGTGCCTTGTATAATTTTTCCAAAAGTGGCATGAATGCTTTGTTTTTCGCTATCTTCTCTGGCTATCATGAGAGTCACAAGCTGGGCGAATGCAGGGATATCTGTAGTCAATGTTCCTCTCACCGTGACATAACAGAGTTTAATGTCAGCATCGGAGCCAGACCTTCCGTGCGCCATTGCCACGAGCCTATTGTCGATCTCCCGGGCTTCCTCTTTTGATGTAGACGAGGTGAACATAACCGCCTCCACTGTGCAACGAGACATTGAGGGCTCGGATCGAAGATTGAGAAAGACGTGGCCAACCTCCAGCCTCTCGTAAATGCAATATCTGATCGTTCATCAGCGAGATGAGCGGAGAAATGACCAATGTGCATCCCGACACGAAGAGAGCGGGAAGCTGGTACGTCAAAGACTTTCCTCCACCTACGTTATATATATCATAAACGGATCAAACACTAAACCCCGATTAGCAAACCTGTCGGCATCACACAGATAATATCCCGGCGGTCCATGTTCGCGTTACATACCCTACACCACGGCAATAAACATCTTAACACGGGACAAGGAGATCAGGTGAGATCGAGACACACCCGTGCTGGCAGAGGCGGAAATTGTCGATGCCAAAGACAGCTTTCATCTTTCCCCGGAGTGCATCTGACCATTCATACTCTGTATGGTAGTCGATGCGCGAGCCTGCAGAGCGGGTGATGTCCAAGCCCATATCGTCGAGGGGAGATATCGTCGCACGCTTTTGCGCGCTCTGGAGCTTTGCGATGACCTCCTTCCGCTCGTCAAGCAGGGCCTCGCGGAGTGTCGCAAGCTTCTTGAGGTCCTCTTCGACGCTCTGTATTTCGGCGTCGAGCGAGGCGAGATGCTCGTTGAGCTTGTCCCTCAACGCTGGGCGAGCGGACCTTCCGCCGGGACTCTCCGATGTCGCCAGCGCGCCATCTAGCGACTTGGACGAACTTTCTTCCTGTTTGAATGAACTTTCTACCTTCCTGAACACGCTCTGCGACTTTCTTGTGCCTTTAGACGCTTTCTTCATTGGGAGAGGAGACCCCTCTGCCTCTACAGCAACTGCTTGGCTAGATTCATACTCAGCGAGCGACATTTGGAGGACTTCTTCCATCTTGAAAGAAAGCTATTTCAGTTAAATTCTGCATGGGCGTTTGATGATAGGACATACCCCATCCGAACCTATCTCATCTGATTCAAATGGTACCAGCATATCATATATCAGGTTCTAGCGTATTGATTCAGACGAAGAGAATCCATATATCAAGCAATCCGGGCGGCTTGAGTAGGTCGAAGATACGGCGATCAAGGCGCGACGAGGCTGAGTGCGCGACTTGCCATCTTGTTGCCATTTGTGGCGAATCTGCGGTCGAGCGGCTAATAACACGATGCAATCATGTGATCGATAAGTGCGGGTTCGAGTCCCAGCCCAATCAAGGAAATATTGACCGGACTGTGACGCTGACGCCGAAAACCCAATGCAACTGCAATCATTGGTAAGGACTTCATATGTTCATTACGAACTGAATGGATTCTTATCAGTGCCCTGGCGAAGTTCATAAGTACTGTACACAGAAATAGCACTCGAAGAACTCGAAGATACAGCGGTCTACCGATGTGACTGCGATATACAGGCTGGTGATACACTTCACACATTATTTGGAAACTCTCCTCGGACCTCGGACCTTACAAATTCAAGACAATTTGGCTCTCTTTGAGCGAGTAACTGGCTTCGTGACCGCCGTAGAGTCCTGCCAGAACAGCAAGTATTCAATGTGGTGATCTCCTGTAAACAATTTCGACACGTACGTCCGATCCTTCTGTATCCATTTCCGCTGCCTTCTGCCTCCGCTTTTGGCCCGTAGGAGCCTTCTTCTGCAGGGTAAATTAAACGGCGAACCACTCACTAGTCTTATGGACATACCTGTTTGGCGGACTTGGCAGCCGCTCTCGTCTTTCCGGCGCCCTTCTTTGCGGGGGCCTCCGACTTCAGCGCTTTGGTCCGCTGTCCCTTTGGGAGCCAGCCGTCTGGCTTCCTCCCTCCCAGCGGGCCATTTGCGTAATCCTGCTTTCGCCCTAGTCCATAAAATTCCTGGACAAGATTGACGGTCTCTTCGCTGAACTCCTGGCTTGCCAGCCATCCGTGGGCAAGCGCTATGTCCTTGGTGCGCAAAGCAGAGAGGTCGGCGGCGGGGAGGTCTGCGCGGTCGCGCACGCACTTGCGCCAGATCGCGCGTGACTTAACGTTAATGCTGCCGACAGGAGCGTCGGGCACGCAGAGTTCCTCTTCAATGTGGTTTGTGATGCCATCGATGGGATCCGCTGCGTCCCAAGTGGAGGCCTTGATAGCGAGCAGGTTTGGGGTGTCCTCTGCGAGGACGTCGTAACGGAGGCGGAGGCGGGCCTCTTCGTGGTCAACGGGGGCGGGCATGGCGGGGGCAGCGAGATGGGGGTCAGGGGCAAGGTGAGGGGCGGCGGATGATAAAGTGATGAGTAACTTTAAAGCAGTTCCCAGTTCCCGTTGCGTATTCTGGTCTGGCCATTGTTTGCCCAGATGGAGGCAACTTCGCTGGTGATGAAAGCGCAGGGCGCGTGGACACTGGGCTCGTCGTCATCAGGTACGCCAACTGTCCTATCCTAGGGTTAGGGTCCTGTATCACCTGCTGCTGCCTTCCCCCGCCCTGTGTGCGAACCGATGGCGAGATATTCGCGAACACTGACTTTATGGAGTGTTCCGACCAGCTTACTAAACTGCGGTTTCGCTCTCGCTTATTAATGTCTGATTTCTTGCATAAAAACCCGACCATAATTCTGCTGTTGCGGCAACCACATCCCCCCAGTCATCATGGCCGCATCCATCACTCTCTACACAGCCAAGGTACGTGTCCCCGTCCTACATTTTCCGTATCAAGCACCTTACGCCATTGCCCTAGATCTGCCCCTACGCTCACAGGGTACGTCCATCTCAATCGGCAGCTCTAATCGGGCCCGGAGATAGTCTATTTCTGAATGATTCGTTAGGTTGAGCTTGCATTGGAAGAAGCCAAAGCAACATACACAAAATATCCCATTGACCTGCAGAACAAACCCTCTTGGTATGCCCCGAAGGTGAACCCCGCCAGCAAAGTAAGCATCCAGCCCCTCTCTCTCGGCAGTGCCGTCTACATACCCTATCTGCTCCCAGGTCCCTGCTATCGCATATGGCGGCCCCCCTTCCCCGCCCGAAGACCCCTCTCCCGAATCCGAGAAAATCGCCGAGTCGCTCGTCCTTATTGAGTTTGTCAACGACCTCTTCCCCCAGGCGCACCTTCTCCCCGCGGATCCCGTCCTCCGTGCTAAGGCGCGCTTCTTCATCGAGTTCTCGACGAACAAGCTCATCGCGCCCTACTCGGCGTTCCAACGCACCGGCGCGTCCGCCGACGACTTCCTCGCGGGCGTCGTCGCCGTGCAGGAGCTGCTCCCCGCGGACGGCTTCGCGGTCGGCCCATACTCTCTCGCAGACGTCGCAGTCACGCCCTTCATCGCGCGCGCGTTCGTGGGACTCCGCAACGAGATCGGCGCGTACGACGAGGGCGAGGGTAAGAAGGTCCTCGAAGCGCTCGCCGCGCCGCGCTACGCCCGCTTCCATAAGTACTGGGCGGACCTCCAGGCGCGGCCGAATTTCAAAGCCACTTTCGACGAGGTGCGTTGCGCGACTGCATGATCGCAGCCGTCCTGTACTGATCTGCCCTATGTGTATAGCCGTACGTTACGGAGGCTTTCAAAAAGCGTTTCGGAGGCCTCCGTGCCCAAAAGTGACTAGAAATACAAGGAGTATCGTCGAGGCTGTAAAATAGGATTGCATGAAGATATCTCATGCTGTACACTGTGTTTATCATGCATCTTTCGAATTTCATTCCTAGTATCCTAAATATGGGACCACCACAAACAAACTGATGAAACCAAACTGACATTCATTCAATACAATGAGAGCTACAAAGATAACGATCGTAAAGCTCGGTCTCGGCCAGAGCCAATGTAAGTATGAAGACATCCTAGGTACACTATAGTACCAATCGTGCTATGTACGAAAAATGATTGTGAGGGGTGGCGAGACATACGCTCGGTATAGTACTGCCGTAAGGCGAACGAAAGCAATAGCAACAGAACAAAGAGGGAAGAGATGCTACAATAGATATGATGACATGTGATGTGTACTAGACAGACAGTCATTAGGCAGGGTCCTGTGGTAAGCTTGTGCAGTGGTGGTTTATCGATACAGTAGTTAGAGCCGAGAGAACCAGTAAAGAACGAGGAACAAATGAGAAAAGAAAAGCGAGGAAGGACGCGAACGTGTACCCTTTGGACGGCCGACCAGACATTCACGCACGGATGAACATCTCGACGGGGATCGGCTTCCGCCTCAGACCTGAGCTTGCGGTGCTGTCACCGCTGTCGCTCCGTGCATCGCTCACGTGCGAGCTGCAGCTGTCGCGCCTCTCAAGGCGATCAAACTCGAGTGAACGCTTGAACATCGGACTCAATGGAGATTTTGGCGGCGATGACCGCTTGGAAGGGGTCGACGGCGGTGACAAGCTCTTGCCTTTACCGCGCTTTGACGGAGAAAGGTGGAAGCGCGAAATCCATGATGAGGCGGGCTCGCGGTCGAATTGTGAACTAAGTGTAGATGAGGACCAGCGAGAGCGCAGCACCCGCTCCGGAACAAACGGCTCAGTGGGCGTGTGTGGGACTTCGTTATCCACGTTGTTCTCGACTGGAGAATCTCCGTGCACGAAGGAGATGTCGAATGAGAAGGAGGACGCCGGGGATACCGGGAGCGAGCCCGCACTCATACTCGCCTGCGAGTATACGCTGGCACTCTGCGGAGTCTTCGGCCATGTCGGGATCTCGTCCATCTCCGGGATGATCTCAATCTCGAGCTCAGCCGTCGCACCGGGAGTGTATGGCGCCTCATCTGAGAGGTCGCTGATATCCGCTGGTAGGGACATGCGCGGGGGTGGACGGGCGGAGGCGCGATGAGTCACGATATATGCGCTGCTGGGACTTGGTGGTACCGAAGCCGACAGGGGTGCGTTATGCAGGGCAGACAAGCCGGTTCCTAGAAAGCCCGCACCGAGAGCCGCGCTGGCCAGCTGCGCAAGCAGCTCTTCCGTCTCGCGCTCCATAGTAGACGTGGAACAACGGGAAACCTTGATTGGAGGAGGCGGCGGAGGACGACTAGGAATCAGGAAAGACTTGCGACGCGAAGGGAAAGTAGGATCCAGTTGCGCGCTGGGACGACCCTGCACCCCGCTGGTCTTGCTCGAGTCTTGCACAGACAGACGAGGCACGTTGGGGAGAGGTTTACTATTCCGACTCCTTCCTGCACGTCTTGGAGGTGGCAAGATTGAATCGGGACGGGCGCGAAGGTCCGGCGCGTTCGATGAGCACGCTGCCAGAGGGAACGATGGAGGTAAAGGCGATGAGAGTGTCACCACGTCACTGATGTCGTTTGCGAACCATTCAACGTCGGATTGAATATCCTCTTCATTCTCGCTCTCCGATTCAACCACGACTTCAGGGACGTTGAGGTCGGGCATTGACTTTGCGAAGTATATGGAGGCACGATGCGACTTGCACGTCGGTGCACGCTGAAGATTAGGACGCGACTCGTCGTCAGACGTAGGGGGGGTAAAGTGCACAACTTTCGGATCTGAGCTTGAACTGCTCGAGGTGGTGTTGGAAGTGATACTACTCGACACGGACGGAGTCGGCGACCTACCCCGACGGCGAGATGAGGGTGTGCTGGTTACGTCGGCGGGAGGGGACGGGAAGTCAAGTGAGATGCCCAGGCCAGAGAATCTTAAATTGATGTCGTCAAGAGGGGAATCACAGGCGGCAGTGTCAATGTCATACAGTGGCGGTGCGGGTGCAGGTCGTGGGGGTGCACCATAGAGGGGGAAGAAGTCATCAAATGTGAGGCCTTCAGCGCCAGTCAAGACAACTCGGCGCGAATCGCGTTTTCGCTCAGCCAGGTCCTTGGCAGAAAGGTAACCGCCGAGTGTGATGCTACGACTACCCCGGTATGCTGTGGCTGATTCGGAGGACGTTGCGGAGGAACAGGATGGACGACCTTCGTCCTCTTCGGAAAGGTGAGGAAGAATGGTAAGGGGCCTCGCCTTGGTTGGAGTGGTTTCGGACTTAGTCTGTGAGCGAGAGCGTCGCTTCAACCCGGGTAGGAGCTTGTTGCTGGTAAACACTGTCGCCACGTATCAATTATTAGCCCCACATATCCATGCCACTGAAAGCGGGAACGACTCACATGAGTTCATCATGTGTCGTAAATGTCTAAGAGTGAAAGAGGGATACCGATAGTAGGAGTATGCGGTTTAGAACCGACGAGGCGATTAGGTCGCAGGGAGCGATGAGTAGAGGGAAGCTGGCCAGCAGAAGCTTTAGTATGCCCTTGACGCAGCCCCGCCTTTTGTCGCATCCCGGCCATTGTTTTCGCACACGAGGAGAGGAACAAAAGCACGGACGCTTTGGGAACAAAAGGCTCCGTCCCGTTCTGGCAAATCGGCTCGGGCCGGCCGCGCGCGATCACAAACATAAAGTTGGCCATCCTCGGTAACGCCCGTTACTACATATGTCACACATTCTATAGTACGGCGTCACACTCCTGTTTGCTGCCCATTTCAGCGCGCTACTTTACTTTGGTATTTCATCGTCGCCTTTGTCCGCGGAGCCGCTGCCGGGAGCACATATGGTGATACACTACTCGGAGGGTGGGCTCACCGAATCGCGCACGTCTCATGTCAATGTGACCGGCTACCTGATGCCAGTGCTTATGCATGTACGAAAAACGGCATTCTCTTGGACTACCTACATTATAGCGATCACTCGTTGCGCGAGTCCGGCTCTGTTGTAAATGGTGACCGTCCGCATCACAAACGCCACTGCACCGCACAGTCCACCTGTTCCCTACTGTTATAGCCCTATCATTCAAATTCCCATGAGATGGCTCAGCCACGGTAACCACTCCACTGAAAGTCGGGCTATGAAGTTCATAATGGTGAGTTCCCGAGCAAAATCACAATAAATTTAGAGCCAATCAACACCTGAAACGGGGACTTGGCATATTGGAGAATTCTCGCTCTCTTTGATGCAACTGTATAAACTAATACTAACAACCTTTTGTCGTATCGCTACCGTCATAACTACGCACTCTGGCAAGCCCTGCATGTGCCGATGTAAAGCAATACCTCGCGGCCTAGTTGGAAATAATCTCATGGCAAGCTACACGCTGGCAGAGCTGTCACCGCCATTTCAGGATCATCAACGACTAGCACCGCCTCAGGAGGATGCACCTTGTATTCTGTTTTGAATCTCCTGATTTTCCTAGCTCTGACCGGTCACTGGTCATATTTCGCGCGCTCCATCAATACTTCTCGCCAGGTGCTACAGGTTTTCTAACTGTCTAGTTGAGCGCGAATTCGCAGCTATCATTATCCCCTGCTCCGAGTCAGTGATGCTCATGCTTTTTTGTGAATCTTCTGGCGAACCTTCTTCATCGCGTTTGTCGCTGATAACCCTTCTACATATGCCCCAGCCGTCTGGATTCTACTTATCTGATTGACTGCTTAGAATCTCAATGGGTGGATGTAGATATCCGCGACTTGCGGAGCACAAGTACGTGTATTCGCAATGCCACACCTTTGTGTGTTAGGTATGGACTATGGGATTCATGCCAGGCTACATCTTATGCATCAGCAACGTTGATTTGCCGCATCCAAGCCGTATTACGCACAGTGCATGTCCACTGCTTAGGCACTCTTATGAACACCATCAACGATTATATTCTATGTGTCGAAGAGCTCACAGCCAGCCCTACACCGAGTCCCTACCGATCTAGTACCTACCGATCTAGTAAACTCGTCCGGGTAGGGATATGTTCATCCTGGATCTTTGTGGCCTATTGTGACGCGACGGACATTCAGAATGGTTTTGTCACAGCGTTATGTACGTAGCGGTCGATGTACCTAAGTACCAATTTTCCGTGCCGCAATGACGATAGGAATCGCCTGCAGCACAACCACACTCCAAATCTGGCGCTAAGGGAGATTGACGAGGCTACCCCGAGCTCTGGTCCGCGCAGATATTCCCGCAACGCCGCAATTGTACCATGCACCGACCCCCGTTGGGGGCCTTCGCGACGCATGCAGCCGGCGTCACTCCAACACGGCAATGGCAATTGTTGCCCTGTTTCCACCCGTGCGCAGCGTTCACACACACGGGCCAGCATAGCATCCAAGTACACCATTTTCAATTATACGTAGGGACATATATACAGCCTGTATTTGGTTTACGGGGCGCACCGGGCGACGAAGGCGCCACGGCGGATTACGAACAGACGCAGGCAAAGGAGCGTGGTACGGTATGTATCAGACGGAGAGATTTATCGACAGCGAAGGAGAGTAGCACGTACGAGAGAGGACAGAAGAAACACACAAGGGAGAGACTGTGAGCGGGGTGAGTTGGGAATTGAAGAGGCAAAAGGGGGATGATTAAATAGGGGGGAGGTAAGGGAAGAACGAAGATGATGTCTATACTCGCGCGGGCGAGGCGGCAAACGCCTGTCCGCGTGCTTCGGCTGGCGGAACCACCTTCTGCTGCCCGCTCGCATCCCAGCTCCGACACTAAGCACATACCATCTCATCAGAATGTGATAACGCACGCCAGCACGCTGAAATCTCATTTTTACTTCTTCCCTAGACTGAGGGAGCGCATCGACTCCTCCAAAATATCCGAGATGTTCATATGGCACTTCTTCGCTTGTGACGTCTGGGTCTGTGGTGGCCGCATATTCGACGCCTGTTGCGCAACATTGATTGCAGGCTGAGTTTGCGACTGAGGCTCGACGTCCACAACGCGCAAAACCGCGCTGCCTTCCATGATCCGCCGCACTTTCTCCGCGTCCAACTCTTGCGGGGCGCGTCGGCCATTGGCGGGGACACCCGCGGGACGAGCAGCGAATGCGTCCCAGAACGCAGAGCCGAGCTTGCGAACGAGCGTCTGCGAAGCCATCGACGCGAGAATAGCTTGCTCGGGTGTCGGCATCGGGTGACTCTTGCTAGCCGTAGCATTGATCGCAGAAGATCCGAGAGGGGGAGAATTGGGAGGCGTGGGGTAGGAGCTGGCAGCAGACTTGCCAGAGAGAAGTGTAGAAAGGACAGGTGCTTGCTTGGCGAAGTAGTGGGGGCGCAAGCCGCTGGCAAGACCGGTCGGACTGGACAATGGGCTCGGACTTGGGCTCGCACCCGAGGCTTGTTGCGCTTGTTGTTGGCGGAGATGTTGTTGGGCAGCCATATTGCGCCAGAGTTGCATGCGGTATCTGCAAAGCGAATAAGTAATGTACTTCGCCAATAAAGCAACACGTACGGGTCCAGGGTCTTCATTGTGAAAGGATTGGAATCCAAGAATGACTCCAAAACACCCCATTGTTGTTGTTGTTGCTCCTTCGCTCTGTCTGGAGAAGCGGCGTTGAGTAGAGGGTTGATGTTCTCCTGCAGGGATGGGCTCCTCCTGCCCACCGTCGCGCCCGCAAGAGGCTTGCCGGCGAACACGCTGCCCCACTCCGGTACCAGTGTCGTATGAACTGGCGTAAAGCCAAATCCTCCCAAGCCTGTATTGGCAGCACCACCCCAAAAGCCACGGGCTCCAATGCGGGGAGACGTCGGTAAATCTTTCTGTGTATTTGGGGTAGGCAAAGTACTCTTTGCTTGTGTGGGCGTTGTCGGATTTGCGTTCGATGAGGCCAAGACAGCAGCTGGGATGGCGGGGAGAGGAGCAGGAGGGGGAAGAATAGGTGTATCAGAGCGGCCACGACCCTCGAGAAGCGTCTTCTTCAGCGTCGCGATCTCTTGACGCAATGCAACGTTCTCGGATTTAGTACTTCCAAGCTCGGTACGAATAGCATCAATGAGGCGATCGCGCTCAGCAATATCGCCTTCGAGAGTGGTAATGTATTCTGACGCAGAGAACGGAATTAGCCTCTAAATCATGTACAACAGTCATGCTACCGCAACTGAAAGAAGAAAAAATTGTCAATCACCAGACGTACTCTGATGGTTGACAAGGCACTAGAAAACGAAAGACGCTAACAAACCAAAATTGTGACAAAGACGAGAACACTCCACCCTACAGATTTTAAAATAAGGAATGAACCACACCTTTTCGCCTGACTCTGAAATTTCTGGCGCTTATCTTATTCCTTAATTGTCGCTTCTCCTTGCTAGACATCTTCTTGTACTCCTCTGGACTAGGTCGCCAATCGTCGGCCTCGCTCGAAGTCGTAGCTAGCATGTTCGAAGCCTTGTTCTCCTTTTTCTCGCCTCCCGCGCGCTTTACTACGCCCCCCGATTGTACGGTCCCTTTCCTGTTGGCCTTGCCTCTGCCACCCACCTTGACGGGGGCGATGGAGACATCGTCGTCTTGTGCTTCGTTTCCCGCGCCATCAAGAGGGTCATCAAGGTCGGCATCCTCGTCGTCCATTTCCCCATCATCACCAAAGTCGCTCACCGACTTTGGCTGTGACGGCGTCGTAACAAGCTGTGGATCTATGCTAACTGGTGAATTGCCTAAAGAACTGCTCGAGCCCGAGCCGGAACCAGAGTCAGGACTGCACATTTGGGTAGCAGCGGCGCTTGTAAAGGCGCTTAAGAAATCGAAACCGGGTGCTGCGAGAGGAGCGGGGAGGTCGAGTTTGGAGAAATCATCGTCGAGAGAAAAGTTGAGAAGAGGGTTAACGGCAGAGCCCATATCAAACATGAATGGGTTCGGAGGGGTTTGAGGGAGGGCGGAAAACGAGTTGGACGGAGACGAGTCTGAGCGGGGCGACGAGCCACTCGAACTAGCGGCCGAGGGCCCGTTCAGGAGATCAAGGTTGAGGAAATCGTCGAAAAGAGGATTATGGGAAAACCCCGCCTGGAGCGGATTGTCGACGAGCATAACAAGATTGCGTAGTGGTGGATGGGAGGGATGGTCGTGGTCGTGGTCGCACTGCGGAGAAAGGCAAAGGAGAAAGGCAGGAACGTTGTAGCGCACAAGCAGCGGCACCCTAGTTTATGTGCTTATGTAAAACGCCCTTTTATGGGTTGGCTGTGGGGCGAAAGCGCTAGAAATCCACCGAATAGAGTTAACCGCCGAAATCACGATCCCAACAACCGACTTTGTCTTTTCTCGATACCCCACAAATCAGTGCAATCCTCAGTCGCTGAAATGGTATGAACAATCATGTTCGTTCATCACAGCTTTGCGTAAACAGCGTTGAACATAAGTTCATAAGCACGTCCTCGCGCAAGTCGTATAAACCAACGCGCGGCAGTGGCGTGTAAGCCCATCAAACTCAATCCCGCTGCCGCACGGATCGCAGACGCGTCCCCGGCAACGCAGTCACAGTTCTCGGTCTCGCACCAGCTTATATATTTAAGTTTCGAAGCTACATGGAGACGGCTGGATGTGATGGGACATAGCTAGTAGTGCCTGCACTGGCGACGGTACAATAAGGCGGGCAGTGTACAGTGGCAGGTTGTGGTATCATATAAATTGTCATTTCAATGGAGAATTTCAGGAGCTTAGCTAATTCGCAGGCCCAATCCCACAGCTTCAAAGAGAACAGGGATGACGCCGCACGCAAACATACCGATACCGCTGTACACGACGACCTTGGTCAGGACTGTATGATGAATACAGTGGTTAGCATCTCGCCGCATGATGCGAACACCACTGCTACTGACCGTCAGCATCATAGTGCTTGACATCTTCGCGGTTTCTATCACTTTCGTCTGCTGACAGAAGGATCCCGGACTTCTCCCCCCTTCCGTGGAATATCGGATTTGCACTCCGGTCCCTTCCTTTCGCGCCTCTGAGTTTAACGTTCCGCTCCCCGTAGATGCCGCCGTACTGCAGACCGACCCCAAAACCGCTCGCACTGGCATTACCTACATCCGTCTCCATCTCCATCATGCTCGTCAGATCGATGACAGAGGGAATCGGATGTAACCCCTTCTCTGCAGGAACATTCTTGTAATCGGTGGCAGGCGTGTAGAAGCGCCGGTGGGGAAGGGTGAAAGCCTGCGAGAGCAATCGGAAGATAGGTGGGAGGACGATATGCATGATTGTCTTAGCAAAGATACGCCACATAAAAATGATCAGTATGCCTAGGAGCTGGGATAAGTACGCAGCTATGCACACATAGCGTGAAGTCACTCACCAAAAGTCATCTTTATGGTCGCAACCGACCACCATGTACACATTTCAAACCAGTTTCCCCACATCTTTCCTGGCATGACGAGTACAAAGTAGTTCTCGTCGTAGCCATTATGCAGCATGTACCACCGAGAGAGGATCTCTCCCATGATGACAGATATGAATGCAATCGCATCTTCGAAGCACGGACAGTCATCGACAGGCTGTGGGTGCCGGTGGACGAGGAGCAAGCACAGAGGGATCGTCACTGCCGGTACTATCGCAGACGTCAGCTATACAAGTCCCCATAAAAAGTCGATTAGCACCCACCGATCCACCCAGAGTCTCTTATCCATGCGTGCAACAAGTCGTTGCAAACCAAATTCACAGCCCAAATACCGGCGCCGAGCAGGACGCCAACGACGCAATCCGTTATAGAATGCATTCCCGTGTAAAGTCTCCCATAGACAATGGAGAAGACATAAAACAGGAGCACGCCACTGAGGATGTAATATGACGTGCTGGATAACCCATGCGCATGCTCAGACTCGGCCGAGCGGGTATATGCCTCTCTGAGAATAGAGTAGAAATATAATGCAATCGAGACGCTGTTGGTTGAGTGGGTCGAAGGGAACCCATATTCAAGATGGTGGGTTCCGATAGCTGGACCACAGATACTATAAGACGTGAAAATAGGGAGATAATAAATGACGGCGCACTTAGTCTTGTCACCGGCGGTGCAAAGGGTCGGGGAGAACACACAAGATCCTTCAAGAAGGATGATGCATACACGCCCATGGCGAGGACCAGAATCAGACTGTTGATCGTACATACCCATGTTGGCAACAGGTTAGTTACGCATGAGTAATCAGCATAAGAGGACCCACCCTGTGCTAACTTGGGTATATCCGAAGAATACCAGTGCAGGGAGAGATATCATAAAGAACGTATGGGTGCCGAGAGACGATGTATAGACGAAGTAGCCGTCTAGGATCGGGTGACGCACAAACTCCTGCAGTATTTGATCAGTCTCTGATACTGGGATTCATTACCGAAAGAAGATGGGTTCAAGATAGCTAGTAAACTCAAAATGCGCATATAGTGCACAATGCGAAATAGGTCCTCGCCGAACAACGGGAGAAGGTATAGTGAGTGGATACTCAAGATCAAAGCTCAGGCAACGGTCTCTGTGCAGCCTAACAATCTCAGCGTACCTGCATCTTTCCAAGTATGACTGACTCCCAAATGACATTCTTGCGCACTCTCCTGCGAATTGCAGCTCTCCAGCCACTCATCGTCCTGTCGTATACCTCCTCTGGACGCAGCCCCGCCCCCACCTCGGAGATCCCTTCGCAGTCTTCCTCCTTGCGCACCTCGTCTACCGAGAGAGAGGTACCATTTGCCTTGGTCGCCTCGTCCCAGCGCCGCGCGGTGAACTCAATAGGGTCAGGAGTGGATGAGCGCGAGTCGTACGGCGACGCGCTCCTGTTCGGTACGTTATTCAGGTGATTCCTGTGAGCGTCCGCGGCGACGGGGAACGCGTTGGCTGTATACGGGTCGCTCGTCTGCGGGGGCATGGCGTTCCGCGGTACAACCTAGGCGAACGCTGTGTCTATGCGAGAACGGTAGTCAATGGGTCAATGGGCGACAAGTATCAGGCACCGTCGTGGTGAGTTGAAGGGGAGCGCTAGTGATAGTTTGAAGGCGGACTGGAGTATCTAAGCGGGCTGAGCCCCCTGATATATGGCATCGCCGAGAGAATTGTATGTTACATATATACCAGGGCTGTGAATATGACGCATCCCGGGCGGCCGGACTCGCCATCCACGAGTCTCTCTTCGCGACCTACGAAGATCCAACTACAGGTAATGCTAATGCTAATACTAATACTAATACTAATACTAATACCTGTCAATGCAGCCAATCTCACCATCACAACAATCTACTGATAAATAAACATTATTGTAACCTATACATACATCAAATGCTACACTGAGATCAAGAAAAGACACCATGAGAATGGTGAAGCACACGGTAATATCACGGAGGCTTCGACACCACGCAAGACCTAGACCTGCAGAAAGATGGATGAGCAACTTGACATGCAGCTAGAAAATAACACAAATGGGGAGGATAGTCTCAGAGAACATACGTTGTCCACATAATAATCAGACATATGCTTGTTTAGAATTGTAGAAATCATCGACGGAAACAATTAAGCAACCGAATCAAACAAATAACTCACCAATCTGTTCCGGAAACAATTAGCTGATTGCACTGGTGAAGGGTATAGGGCAGCTATCCTTCAGGGGATGGTGTATGCTACCAATAGTACCAGCGGCACATGCAGGGAGTCTCCGTCGCCCGCTAACATGCTTGTCACGAGGAAGTAATACTGATAGCTCACTTACAGGACGATAAAAACGTCATAGGACGGGGAATGCCGATACATTTACCTGCAGAGATGTCAATTAGCATGAGCGTCGACAAGGTCAAATGTGAATGCAACAAAGTATGAAATAGATGAAGCTCAGTTGGTGATGCATGTTAAAGAGTACGGCTCACGAAAAAAATCGCCACTCGAATGTTATGGATAACAATCTTCATAGCAAGACAAAAGACAAGACGAACACTCACCAAGACCATCACCACCCACGTCCTCGAAAGAGCTGTCGTATGCAACACGCGGGCGAGGGAAGAAATACTCCCTACGCGCGAGGTTGGATCTCCGAAAGAAGACCGCGCGCGCCAATCCAGTCGGAGTTTGCTGACTGTACAGTTGCTCACATATAAATCGTCGACGCGCGCAACTGGAACGCGTCGTTGGCACTCGTTTCGTCTCCTTGTCGTCTCCTATGCTGCTCAGAGTGAGTGTATGCGCTTTCTTTATCTTTTTGGCATGCAGTATCACTGCTCGTCCTATGATGAACCATTTATTCAGTTCTGCTTCCGAGTAGAGAGCAATCTCGTGTGGAAACCTTTACATACCAAAACTCTCAATTCTGACCTCTCATATCTTCGCTTATGTTTTGCTCATACTAACCACATCCTTTTCTCTCAGATTTTGTGATCAGATGAGGGAGATGGTTTGTTTTGAGTCTCACGGGAATTTAGGTGAGTGTCAAGTGGACGTCTGGCGCGGCCCGTTCCTGTAGGATGAAAACAAGTTCATCCATTCTTTGAATGTCCTTTCTCATACCTTGTGCTGCTCCCCTCTGCTTCAGCCTCGTTGAATGTAGGGGTCTCTGGATGTGTCGTCTTGACATGTCCGGGATAGAGTAGCAATGGGTCACTGCTAGAGGAAATATGAAAACCTGGCTTCTCTGATTCCTTCATAGTTCTCTTTTTGCATTTTTTTGAAGTGTACTTATAGCGCCAATTACAGGTGGGTTCTGTTACGCGTGATGCGATGCTATCACATTTTACTGTATCTCTACTTTAAGAAGTCATGTATGGGTAAAGAGGAGAAAGGAAATAAACCAATGTACCTCAAAAGTGTCTGTATTATAATGGGAGTACGCAACAAACATGTAATCAGAGTTTGAAGGCAACGACGAGCCTCCAATTCTCGTCGGTAGAATTGAGTATGTCTGATTTGCGCAGTTTAGGACGAATTCTATTCCGGCCTCTGCTATCACGGAACCGGTTGTGCTGGTAATCATAGTTAGTGTCGTCGCTTGCACGGCTCTTTAGAGCTTTTTCAGTCGTATCGGGAGGCATACTGTCACAGCCTGAGTAGCTAATGACTCCCTGGGCAAGCACGACATCAAGATGACGAGGATTGAAGAAATGCTACGAGGTTGAGTTCAGCGATCGTCTTCGAGCGATAAAATACACGAGCTTACATGATTCCAATAGCTAATCAAATCGCCAATCGGTCCCTTCCTCTTGCCCTTCAGATGCAGCTCGATACCCTTTGTAGCCAACATGCCCATTAGAGGCGGCAGATGCCTCGCAATGGGTGCAACATTCGCGACGATGCTTTTCGAGGGCGCAAGCAGACCAGCAGCCCTGATATCGTTCAGAAACCGCACCCAATCCTGCTCGTTGACGTCGTGTGTAAAGAATGGATGAGGAATTGTCGTTGAAGGGGGCGCGATCAGGGGAAAGCATGTCGTCAGATCGTTGCTAATTCCCATCAAAGCCGTGGCCTCAAATGGCGGGTACGACGCATCAGGTGCCGGAGAGCGATTGAACGATGGAGGTGGCGGATCAAGGAGAAGGGAAATGCTCTCCCCAGGCGCTAGCTTGGCGCGATTGCTGAGCACCTCCGGGTGTTGCTCCGGGTCGTTTCGGCTAGATGGCTTACTGGAGGACGAGAGCGCAGGGGTGCGCGAAGGAGCATAGGGTGAAGCCGGGTTGTAAAATAACGTACTAGGGCCTGCATGGAAACTGGTGCGTATGTCGGAGAAGTGTGGAGTGCTGTACGACTGAGCCCTTGTGTGTGCCAGGCTAAGGCTGGAGCTAGCACGAGCATGGTGTGCGATATCGGAGAATGCGTACGGATGAGTCGGCAGCGGCGCGGAGTAGCTTGTGCTCCGCGCAGGAAGCTGTGACGGTATCGTCGAGTGATTGTTGAAAGTAGTAGAGGCATCGGTGGGGCTATATGCTGGCGGGGCATCGTAGTCCAGCTCCGGAGAGCGGTTAGAGTGTGTAGGCCTAAGCTTCATGTTCGCTTCCTCGATAATATCGTCAGGGCTGGGGAGAATCATGCCAAAGGTGAGATGAGGGAGCAAGGAGAGGAGAAGGGTGCAGGGCCTCTGAAGTGAGAGCGCTGCATGATGGGATAACGAAAGAGAAAAGGATGGCCTGGCTGTGCGAGCGAACTAGCAGGTCACCGGCCATCACGCTCTCCGTCGTTTCATGCGTCGAGTTTGGCCCATTACTACCACGTGGCCGCGTCGGCGCTGCGTCTGAGCGCGCGCGTGAACGAACGCGATCCGGAGACCTGACGGACGCACCTGTCACCGCAGAAGATCCTACGTAAAGATTGCTCCCCCATCTTGCACATGTTGCATTTTCTCAGAACCAATTGAAATACGATGGACAAAAAGCGACAAAGGAGCTGTTACTTCGAATATTGCCATTCTGAGTTCTCTTCCTGTTGAATCTCAGCATTGATCATTGCATTCCGGCTCGGAGAAAGGAGCAGAAAGTGGAGCACAATGGTCCCGGGACTCTGAATTTACGTACGAGTGCGCATTCTTGCGCGACAGCGAGTGGACCGCTCGTCAAGCAAGTAGTGCTGGCAGATCCGACAGAATTATTGTGCCAGTTCACCCAAAGTTTGCCGTATCCTCAACCGCTCAGCACCGCCCATATGTACTCACTTGGTTATATTCGGGAGGCAGTGCATCAATCTTGATGGTGCTTTAAGCAGACCACAGCTTGAAGTAGACTTCCCTTTTTTGCGTCGTCATCTCGTAGTGTGAAGCGACATTCAAATCTTCCGTCGAGAGCAACATTTACAATTGTACTTGCAAACTTCTCTTTCAACGGAGGTAACAACGTAAACTCTGTTCAATTATGTAGTGACAGCGCGGTTGGACTCAAAGACTCATCTCATGAATGACTACTTGTAGGACACAATTAATCGCCAGTTCTCCTTGGAGACACTTTTCCTCTCCCTCTTCTGTTCCTTTCGCTCTCTCTTCGCGGCTCTACGATTGGCACGCCTTTCCCTCCGATCCGCCCTCCGGGATGACCGGGCACTGCCATTATTGGAAGCGCTATTGGAAGCGCCATGATGGTCGTCTTCGGAATCAGAGTCCGAGTCCGAGTCCGAATCCGGATCCGAGTTCTGCGTCCCCGCATCCTGTCCTGTAAAGGTCATGTTTCCTTGCGCAAGCGTGATATGCATGCGACGCGGGCCGAAGAAATACTGCAAAAACGGACGGAATCATCAGTGAGTAAAATCACGGATAGCGATAGACAGCGTACGTGGTTCCAAGCATCGATCAGTTCGCCGGTTGGCCCAGTCTTCTTGCGACTCATTCTCTTCTCAATTCCTCTTGTTACCAAGAAACCTATAAGCCCAAACAAATTAGTATGGCTGCTCTCTGCCCAGATATACACGATACATACCCATGGGCAACGATAAACTCATCGCCGCCGGTGCGACGTTCGCTACGAGGCTGTTCATGGGCGTAATACCGGCGGCGGCGTGGACATCATGCAGGAAGCGTGTCCAGTCCTGTTCGGTGATATCATGCGTCGCAAATGGGTGCGGAACAGTCCTCGATGGCGGGGCGACGAGCGGGAAGGCTTTGTTCAGATCCTTGTGAGTGCCCATCAATGTGGAAGGCTCGAACGGCGAGTAGGGCAGGTTCGGCGGGGGGTGGCGAAGGAACGGCGGTGGCGGAGGGTTGAGAAGTTTGGTGATGCTCTCGCCCGGCGCCATATGCTTCAGCACGCCCAGCACACCGCTCGGGGCTGCTGGGGCTGCGCCCGCCCCCGACGGGCCTGGCTGACCTGGGGAAGATGCGTAAGGCGATGGAGAACGATCAGCGATCCCTGGGGTGCCATATGGGCTTCCGCGCGAAGAGGAAGCGCTCGGGTACGAGTCTCTGTCATACTGGCCTGGAGGATACTGGCCTGGATGCGATCCCGATGGATACTGTGCTGGGTACTCTGGACGCGAGTTTGGCGACGGACCCGGATATTGACCATACGCATGTTCTGAATACGACTGTTTGGGCGGCTCGTACGGTGAATCTCGACGTGCATAAGGATCATTGTAGACTTTGTGATCACCATAAGGAGCTGGCTGGGCAGCACGGCTATCTTGGCCGGCGTAGGGGTTCGTGTTGGCGTACGACGATCGCTGGACATAAATCTAATTTCCAAATGTGGTGAGTATTCTTGCCACCGTCAAGATCCATTGGCTCACTAGAGGAGAATCTTCTGGCGAGCCGCGTTGAGAATACACATCGCTTTGTGGACCGCGTTCGCCATACATATTGTCTTGCGGGCCAGGTCGGCCGTATGCATCATTCTGCGGGGGCGCATATGACGGAGATCTGTAGATATCGTCGTAGGTAGGCGGGGGCGCGCCGTGCGGCTCTGGCTGCCGCTGTCGCCATGCTGCATCCGACTCTTGTGCTTTATCATTATACATGGATGGAGGGGACGATCAGGATGATGCACTGACGGCGAGCAGAGTAAGGATGATATGCGAATGCCCGCCTCGGTTCTGGTCTTTTATGTCAGGGAGAATCCGATGAGGGGCCTCATGTTTCACTGGCACGGTCACAGCATCCTGCGGATTCCTGCCCCCTGCGCATCACGGATATGAGTAATTGATCTCGCCGGCGGCGGCGCCAGTGCTATCGTGATAGACTTAGATTCAGTCCCCGCCACCCGGAGCTTATAGCGGAGGTAAAATCCATAAGCTCATGAGCCAGGAATAATTGAACGTTTGGTCTCCGTCACAAGACTCCGAACGGCTGGCGTTGCGTCTAGCCACATGCGCAGCACCTGCGGTTTTGTATACTTACAGCTTTTGTACAGCCTGATCTCGGCAAATTCGCGACTCGGGGACTCGGGGACACTCGGGGACACTCCTGGGCAAATCGAACTAGACGAATGAAATTCTAGGGGCAGCCCAGGGGTCAGTGTGACCACCGATCTGAACAGCAATCTGCCACCTGGATTGAAGATGTGTGATCGTGTCGTAATACGTACAGCAAAGGCCAATAATATACAGCTTTAGCGTCCGGCCGTTCGTTGATTTAATGCGCAAGTACTTACAGATGGCCTGAGCTTGAAGGATCTCTGAACTCTGCCGCCGCCCAACCAATTTAGCTCCGCAACCCCTAAGACCTATATGACGACCTCCTTACACTCAAGAGGTCTTCATGTGAGGACTGTTTACAGGAAGACTGCCTTGAGATTGAACTGTGCCGGCAACATGTGCAGGGACAAGTCATCGTGGTGTTGGTCACAATTGTTAGAGTTGAATTCAAGAGTGAACGAGAGTAGTGGGTGCAAAAACAATTCGTACTTATTCTGATCTTTCCGTATCGTCATATATACACAATCTTATGAGCCTGCATGGTAGCAGTTCGAGAACCCAGCTCGGGGTCATTCACGATTTCAAAATCCAAATCTTGAAAAATTATACCACAAATGCACAAGACTACACAACAAAAATTACGTCCACCAAGCCCACCACCACCACCATCATATCACCCCACCCGGATGCTCCGAATGCAGTTCTTCAAGGACAGCCATTCACCTTGATGTAGGAGGGGTGCCGTTTCGCGCCCCGGGCTGTCCAGCGATTGACTCCGCCAGCTTGATTAGCTCCGGATCTTGCAGAGGTACCTTCGAGTCAACCACCTCCTTGATGAGCGACATCGTGCTCTCGATACTTCTCCGACGCGTACTGGGACTGGTCATCGTCGTACCCAGACTAGCCTGGCGACCGTGGCCACGTCTGAATGGCATCATCTGGATCGGCGAAGTTGGTGACGACGGTGACACGGGAGTGCTCGGTCCCGGGCTGCTGCCCGTCGAGGGAGTACCAACGGATCCGCTGACGATCGCCTCCTCAAGCGCTGCCACCACGCCGTTGGGAGGCGGAGGCGTCGCAGGCGCACCTTCGGGAGATGATTGACCAGAGGACAAAATCGCCTTGCCCTCCTGAGAATCGGCATCATACAAATCAGGAGGAAGACGTTCGTTCTCAATATCAGACTTCCGGCTACGATGCGTAATTGTCAAACGAGGCATATGACGGAGGAGAACACAATAACGCACGCATCTTCGAAACCAGTAATGGCATCTTTGATGCCCTCCGCACCCAGGACCAAGGTGCCGTACGGCAATTTCCCAGAGCCTGATATGCTCTTGAGCTCCGACACCTTCTCCGACTCCTCGCTGACGTGAAGAGGTCAGGTATCATGTCCGCCATCACAAAATGCGGTTATACATACCGGAGTAGTGCGAAGACTCGTGACATGCGGCCAACAGCCAGGATCTTGTTCTTGATAACTTTGCGGCGCTCGTGCGTCTCTTCCGGCGTAGGTATGGCGGGCGATATGATGGTATCCAGCTCCTCCTCCTCACTCTCTTCCAATTCTTCTTTCGTGCAGCAGTTTAATAACGCTAGCAACATGTCGGTGACTTCAGATCGGACAATCAGCACTTGTACATGTGGAAAGGGCTGATAAGAAATTAACTTTTTTCGCCAACGAAAGGCAAACTCCACGTGAAAGCATCCATGAAGTTGGGCAACCAGTAAGGATGAGGAGAAGCGTTAAATTGTCGTATATTCAGAACATTGCTTTCGTATTTGAGAATTGCAGCTTTGTTGTTGTACACATCCAGATAGTTAGGCGCCGAGAAAAGGGTCATGACTGACGGAAAGCCCGTCGTCCTCGTCTTGCGATACATACGATACCTACAGTGATAAACGAGCGCTTTTAGCAAAAGGTGTCAATATATTACAGGTAACCCACCCTGCGTCTTGCGCTTCGTGCGCCCGGATGATTGAGAGGAGCTTGTTACGCTCCAGAAATTGGCAGGCAGCATTGTACCTGAATAGAATAGGTTGCAATTGAGTTACAAGGACTGTAGCAGAAAGACAAAGCCTCACGTGAAAAAGTACGAGCAGCCTCGGACGTGATTATGAACAAAGCTCTCATTCATCTTCTCCTGGCCGAAGTCTTCCACGGGATCTGACCAGAGAATATCACACATAAGACCCTGGGTAGGAGGTTCACGGAATCGGTCAATCTAGGAGAAAGATGATTGTGGATCGGTAAGTCACGCTAGGTTTGAGTTTAGATGCCACCACGTACGCTTCGGATATCATCAAGTGTTTGCAACTCAGGTGACAACCCACCATGGATACAGAAGAATTGTTTGTTCATGATCGCAGCTAGGGGCAGAGCACAGAAAGACTGCATGCAAGCGTCGTATAAACGCTCCGAGTATTTGCGTTTACCTAGCATGGCTTAGTGGAGAAGTCGCTGTGGGGAAAGGGTACATACATTCCAATTTGAAAGTAAAGTAATCAGTTAAATGCCGACATTCATGGTTACCGCGCAGAAGAAACAGGGTATCAGGGTACCAGATTTTCAGGGACCACAAATACAGCACACACTGGCATTTACATCAACACATTGTCTCTCGGAATCCAGAAATCAGACTGACCTCGATGCTGAAATAGCCTCTGTCGACATAGTCTCCCAGGAAGAGATATCGCGTCGTCGCTGGACTGCCTCCAAGCTCAAACAATTTCATCAAATCGTACTGCATTGGGTCAGCACATCACCCACTTCATTATACACAAGAACACTAACATATTGGCCATGTATATCGCCACAAACTAACATGTCGACAAGGATCGGTGTCATGGATTAAGCACGCCACCGGGTAACGGCGTCGATAATCACGTACCAGTTACCGGGGCGTCGACGTACAACAGGTTGGGTTCTGCGTGCAATATCTCTGTAGCTTTCTCCAGGATGTACATAGCATGTTCCTCGGATAACCGGCCTTCGCGGTAGAAATGATTCTTCAGGAACGCGATGTCAGGCTTCGTGGGGTCATCGCGAGAGAAGAACTGAGCGTCCGTCGGGATAGACATTGCAGGAGCTTGCACCTATGTCCAGCATATATCCTCAACTCATTGGGGGTATAGGGGCGGAGAAATAAAGCGAACCTCCTTCACGACACGCTCCTGCGTGCTGATAGTGTAGCCATTTTCGAGTTGATGCTGAGTGAAGTCAATCGTCGGAATACGGGGCTTCTCTTTTATCTGTACAATGGCACGCTCGATTTGTCCTCGTGTGCCGCTCATACTTGGGAGGGAGGGTATGACGGTATGGCGGTATGGCGGTAGAGAAGATTGAGAGAGCTATGCACGATTGGGCGTTGTTTCGTCGGAGAAATAGACGCTTAGGCCGACGCAAATAGTAACAGTGAACACAACCCTGCAGCCCTTTCGGACTTTCAATGCAAACTAGAATCGTCGTAGGGACGCTGACTAATCCTATAATGACACTTACCGCATTCGCCACGCTACTTAGCTGAACTACACCTCCATAACGAGCCGTGCTGACTGCGGGCCAAACCTCTTTCTCTCGGCCTCAAGCTCTGGGCTTTTCATCGTCATGTCTGTCCTCCCTCTGAGTTCCCCAACGGTACCACACAATGGAAATGGATCGTCAAGGCCGTCCAGACTTATGTCAAACCGCATTCCCGTTATCTTCAGACGGCTTCCCCGTTTTCATCAAATGGTATGCTTACATTAGACCGGACACCTTGGCAGGTTTCATCACCATGTGGAAAGTAGGATTTCGAACTGGCAGCATGGCAGCTGACGTACCTATGTCTGGCTCCTAAGAGAGTGTGAGCACTTGTCCTTCATAGTCCCTCCATCTTGTATTTACCGCGACTGCTAGATATCGCAATGTATATTTTCACAAGCGTACGTATTTTGTTACCTTCAAGTTCGCCGAATGTAGACGCTACGATCGTTTTGCAGAAACAAAAAACACCTGGGCCAGAGATGACCCAGCCATCCTCATTCTCATAGCGGGGTGTCTGACCAGCAAGTTTCACCACTCTGACCTGGGACCATGTAGCTAACTCATGTACAGTATCAGCCATTGCCTGGTCCGTGGTATACTCGTACTCGCCATTACAAGCTATCCGGCTCGCGTTTCTCATGATCATCCGAGATTATTTACTAGTGGGAGTTGCAATTGCAACAATTCTCTGGTACGTTGCAAAGTTCATGAACAAGCAAACTGCAACAATCGAGCTGTTCAGGTTCATCTCGAACCGAGTCCTGCTTTCGCCACCGTCCCACTCATCACCCGCAGACTCGGTGGTAGAATGGGCATATGTGTTTGATGTGCACACAAATGCTTTCTTCCCATTTTATCTCACTCTGTATCTAGCACAACTTTTTCTCGTTCCAATCATCCTCAAGAGCAATTGGATATGTCTCTTCGTTTCAAATACGCTATATTTCGCTGCGTGAGTACACTATCCAAGTCTTTGGTTGACCCGTTAGCTCACGTTTCACACAGGTACGCGCAATATTTCTACGGTATATACCTTGGTCTGAGCGGTGAGCCTCAATAGAATCATCTCATTCAAGGCATGTGGCTAATAGATACGTAGCACTACCATTCCTCGTTCGCTCTGAGTTACTGCTGATCCCGCTTCTTCCGCTCCTCGTGGGCTATGTAATCTCGCTGTTGGGGTTCAACATTGCGCAACATGTCCTGCCCGCGTATTTTGGCTCATAACGCATATACTTTCGTGACAGTGGATTCCTTTGTGTTGGCTAATTATTTGTAGTAATTGGACTGAGTGTTTTATTCAAGTTGAAGTTCTCGAATCAAGTTGGAACTGTGTGGCGTTCGCCATGTATGGTGGGTCTTGAATGACAGTTGCGTGTACCATGTACCTTGTGCGAGGCGTGCTCCTCAACTCTTCAACTGCATACCTATTACAAGGACTAGGATATGAGCATGAGCCGTGACATATCTATACTCAGACTAGGTTGGGATTCCTAGATAAGCTCAAACAAGCGCATTTTAAGGTATGCACATCTCGCGGAGGCCCGTTCTCACTTCAAATAAATACTGACAGCCAATGAAATCTTATTGATAGCTCTGTTGGGCGAATATCAACATGACGAGAATGGTAATATTGGAAGACACTACACGAAATGACACGAATATCACTGATATGGGATGACGACCAAAGGAGACACATCTTCATATCTTACTGCAGACGTCTGATGCCGTTTTGTGATATTTGACAAGGAAAACACCGATCAACACTAGTCCTTCAAGGTAGCAGTCCACCTCTCCTGCCCCTTTTCGGCTTCAGGCTGCGTTTCTTACCACCTCTCATCCCTCGCAATGAATCTCCCATACTACTGTCGAGATCAACGTCCAAGGCAGCGTCTTCCCGCGCTACATCCATGTCATCGTTCGGCCCATTCGAGTATATCTCGACCCTATCCCTTAGGGAGGGGGATGGGCCATCTCCAGGAGGCGGCGCAAGGTCATTCAGCGATAGTCTGTCCAAGAGAGAACCTCCCCGTCTTGCCATCATGGGTCGAGAGCTCATCTGTTCAGAGTAAGCTTCAACTGGTTCAACTGGACGATCATCTCGCGCGCTTTCCCTCGGCATGTTTGTTTCGTCCCCTTCTGGACTATCATGCGAGGGCTTCGTGGGCGCAGGTGGCGGGCGACGAATGCGCACCGGTTTCGACGTTCTCATGAATGAGTCTTCATCAACAGGAGTTGGTGCAGGTGGAGGACGGAGTGGCCGTGTACGGTCTGAATGAGGTATGCGCCCCGGTAGTGCCGATCTCATCACTAAGTCCTCGTCTACGGAAGGAGTATGGCCAGATGAGGGACGGGGTGGCCTTGTACGATCTGAGTGAAGTATGCGCCCCGGTGGTGCTGGTCTCATCAAGTCCTCATCCGCAAAGGGAGTAGATGCGGGCGAGGGACGTAGTGGTCGCGGATGATCTGAAGTAAGTGGCCCGGAGGGAGATGGCTCTCTGAATCCACCCGGATCAGCGCGGTCCCAGCTCCGTCCTCCGACATTGCTCAAAGGCGGCGCTTCCCTTGGATCACGGTGGTCGGGACGAGATGTCGAAGCAGAATATGCATTCTGATCGCGAGGTCTCGAGGGAATTAGCAAGGACGGCTCATTGGAACCACGGTACGGACCCTCTGCCGGGTACCTATCGTAATGCGAACTGATTCTACCCTCGAGAGTCGGAGGTCGATTTGGGAGGCGCGTATCTACAGAATTTGCACGGTCTCGTCCTCGCTCCGTTGATGGAAAGTCCGATCTTCGTGATCGAGAAGGTTCCTCAGCAGGAGTCAACCGTGTCTCCAAATTTTGTCGGTTTGGATTGGAAGGATTATTGTATCGGTAAGGCGCAGCAGACTCAGATGCCTGCCAAGGAGCGTTGTCGCCTCGGGATGAACGAGCGTCATGGGGGATATGAGGCCCATCCACAGATTGTACTTCTCTGCTGCGATTTTCGCGAGACTGAACTTCTTCTCTCGTGATCCACACGCGAGGTTCTTCGACTGGATCCGACGGGGGAGGTCGCGAAGGTTCGCGCTTCGGTCCGAATCGAGTCTGAAATTGTCAATATTGCACTTAAATCTGATGAAAAGGGACATACTTGACGAGCTGGGCGTTCCACTGGTTCATAGACCGAGTTGCTCCGTACAGAGGTAGGGGGTCCACTTCCTCGATAGTCATCTGCATTTCGAGGGTGAGATCGCTGTCAAATATTGCACGAATCAGCACAACAGCACAACTATACAGTAACAAATTAGATCTTACCTGGGGGCGTTCATCTCTATCTACATTTGAGAGAGACCGATGGCGTCCAGAAGCAGCATTGTCGGAAGGGGATGGCCGATAAGAATTGCTAGAAGCAGATCCAGTGACCGGATACGGAGGTGGCCCCTTCAGTAAAGCATCAGCTATGCTACAGATACAAGGCAAGTTCGTACTGACCATACGTCCAAACTCATCGCGACTGGCGGTACCTCCACCTTCCGCACGTCCTCGAGGAGGACCATTTGGCGGTCGATGTTGTGAGATAGGCGAAGGTAGAAGGTCACGATCTTCGTTCTTATTCCCCACTACCGGCGCAGATTGCGGGGCGAGAGCTGTATCGGCAGAACGAGGAGGATAGCGCATTGATGGGTCGCGGGGTCGTGCGTCCTATGTGTCAGAATCATAATGTGTGAATCACCCATACTGTTACATAAGGACTGCAAACAACGCTACCTGAAGAGTCGACTCATTCACGTTCCTGGTGCTTACACGCCTGTCCTCAAGATGATCAAAAGAAGCTGTCCTGTCGTCGTCAAGTCGCCGTGAATAGAAGTGGGGACTGGAGGTTGAGCCTGCCGCATACTGCGTTGGGCCATCCTGACGATCCCGTCGTTCTGTCCATCCCTCATTGCCTGTGTGCGACGATGGAGATGGGCGCATACGCCCTCTCGACAAAGTGCTAGGAGGCTCCTGAAAATGCCCTAGCCGCAAATTTGGGTAGGTCGAAGAGGGCGATGTTTGCGGAGATGCTGAAGGCGGCGGATTGGTTTTGTTTGTCATGGCTCGAGGGCCCCTCGGGGGCAGATCAGCCTGCACGTCCATCCCTAACCTATCAGCATACATAGCTGGACCTGCCCTAGCAGGACCTTCAGGGGGACGCGAGGGGGGCGCTCTGATAGACGGAGGGTCAACATCCATATTATCACGGTCTGCACGCGGAGGATAATCGCGTGCTTGGCCATGTGGCGGATGATCAAACCGGCTGCCAGGACGGGCTGCTACAGCAGCAGGCCTGTTTGGTACATGCGGCTCGACATCACGAGTTGAATATAGAGGAAACGGACGTCGAGAGGAAGACATATCACTGGGAGTATCAGCAAATCTCGGTGGAACATTACTGTTAGACAAAGGTTCAGTGAACGATTCCCGGCCAGAATCTGTACCCGGTGAAGGCGGTGGGAATGAATCTGGTCGAGTGGCTACCTCGCGGAAGCGAGCGCTCTGCGGTGGAAGAGGTGGTCGTTTCCGGGAACCTAGGGGAAATCCGAAGTCGTATGGGAAGTTCCACGAGTGGATGTGAGGAGCGACGATAGCGGAAGGCTGAAAAATACGTACGTGACTGATCGATCTGATTCACAGGCGGCGGAAACGAGGAGGGCACTGGTCGCTCAGGCAAGCCAGGAGGGGCAGCAGTATTCGACATTGACATTTGACGCGAAGGAGGATCGGCCAGTCGTTCGTCGAGTCGCCTTCTCTTTGATTCAGATTCAGAACTTGAATCAGCGCCATCATCTCGTCCCCTTCTTTGAGGAACGGAGTCGGTGCGTGTGTATATTGCATCCTCCCGCGAATAGCTTTGTGATGGTGGAGGCATGGCGAAATTAGTAGGTCGATCGTATCGACTGGTCTGCCTAAAGCCACCGGGTGCAGAAGCATTGGACATCGGAGGTGGTAGTCCAGAAGTGTCTTTGTCCTGAGTAAACCGCCTTGACCCTGAAGGCGAGAAATCGCGTACACGAGGACGCGGTGACCTATGTCCTGCAATATGAAAGGAAAAATAGGGGAAAGTATCAAAGAGGGTGCAGGATAAAGGGAAGAAAAAAGAGGGGCCATCATGAGCGTCCTTGTGTCGAGTACAGAAGAGGCTGAACGGGAACAGCGAATCTCGACTCCCAAGGCTTCTCGAGACGTCCACTACGACACGTCCTCCACCTCGGGAGGAGAACGAACGCCGATATGGGGCAGGGGAATGAGGCGAATAACGTACTTGGGGCCGGCCACTCGTGAGCATTGTGGCGAGAATGAGAGGGTGCATCGACGTCCATATTTTCAACACGTTTGCGGGCACGATCATCAGGAGGATGTGCTGAGGGCTCCAGTCCGACCGAATTTCTAGGTGGCCCCCAATGACGATCATGCACATCAGCTGGCCGATGTTGGGTGTCGGGAATACCACGCCTAGGTTCCCTCCACGTACCATGTTCGAGCGGCAGCCGAGGTGGTGATAGTTCCCTTCGAGTTGGACGATCAACATGCTCTCTTTTCGGCGGAGGCGTGAAAGACCGCGAGCGGCGCCGGTCGGTTGGCAATCTCGGTGATGTTGCTCGGTAAGGACCATCAGGGAGAAATGGGCGGCCAACCCTTTTCTCGCTGGTATCGTTCCCTTCGCTACCTGGGCGATAGTGACGGTCCTTGTAAGAAAGCTGCTCAGCAAGAGACATTGCTTCCTTAGGGTCTTTGCGATTAGGATGCACTGTGGCATGCCCCTCGATTGAATGTGCTCGTACTCGAGCTGGAGCTTGAGCCTCGCTCGGTCCGGGTGACCTGCTTTCTCTGACGTGCACGCTGCCGTTCTCTCTATCTTTCGATGGAGAGGATTTGCGGCTCACCGATCCAGGTCGAGTCCAGGTCGACTCGTGCGTTTTGACGTTGTAATAATACTGTTCCGCCGCTCCATCTCGAGGGTATCTAATTTCCCAATCGGGCGGCAGCGCATCACTGTTACCTGTAGAACCGGCTTTCCCGTGGCCGTTTGGACGCCTATCCCTTTGTACCATAGAGCTTGCGAGAGTGCTAGTCTGGGTTGGAGACGTGTGAATAAAGGGAGCAACAGCAACAACAGGTTTTGGAGGAAGAGCATGTATTAACTTTCCAAGGGACTGAGCGCGTTGAAGGCTAGGAGAGGTAGAGCCTTGAGAGTGGGTCGGTATCTTGTTTGGGGAGCCACCGGAGAAATCCTGTTGGTGGTCGCGCCTGTTTTGGTGCAGATGCTGACCTGAAGGCGGCTTATGCTGGCTTTTCGCTGACGAGTCCTGGTCGGCCGTCTGGTAGGCATAGAAGTCTTGCATGTCGTCGTCGTCGCCACCCAGCGAAACTGCATCTTCCGCGTCCTCAGGGTCGCGCCAGCCATCAGCTGACGGACGTTGAGGATTCTGCTCGTCGTCTTCTTGGCCCCAGTCGAGAACTTCGGTGTCTTCATCCATTGCTGTCGTTGTTGTGCTCGGAAAGGTCGTCGACAAATGTCGAACAGCGATGCGTAGCTCGGCAAGATGCGATTCTCCGCCGTAACATTTGGACCCCGCCAGACTTAACTTAATAGTTGCATTTTTAAAAATTGCTCCGCTGTTGAATGCTGAATTAGTAGTTGTTGAGGACAGCTTACAAGTGTCGCACTTGCATCAGAAGCACACCGCCTTGTACCAAAGCGTCACCTGTACTATCAAGTTGGCTCCGTCGACAACGGCCACCATGTCCGCTCCTCCAGTCGCTGCGGCATCTGCTGTAAATGCTTCCAAAGCAGAACGCCCTTCCTCGGGCACTCGTATGCCATCGCTGAATCAGTTGGCAGCCCGCATTAACCTCAACGCCAACTCGAACCCTGCCTCAGCTGCTTCTCGCCCCCGTCTCGCTGCAGCTCTCCTCCGAACCAGCTCTCAGAGTTCGTTATCGACAGCCGCATCCACTTCAGACTCTGTTGCAGCCAACGCGCCTAGCTCGCGATCTGTATCACCCGCAAACTTGTCGACTTCTCCACCAGGGAGTGTATCCACTACGCCAAGCCAGAATGATACCGATCCAGGCGAGCAGCTCACGACCGAGCGACTTGATAAACTGAATAAGGAGTCGGAGAAGAAGGAGAAGATGCCTATGGGATATAAGAATATCCCCAGTCTCGACGCCATTACGGCTCGTCTGGCTAAGGCGCGCACTCTCAGTGTGGACGGCACTGCAAAGCCCCCTGAGGCAGAGACGATTGAGGACCCGAAAACCCCCGGTTTGCGCATTAAGGCGCCCGAGCACCCTCTTGAACATACATGGTATGCACTTTTCTTATCTGTTAATGTTATATCTGCGTGTTCTTTATATGCCATCTTTTTCACGACATGATGGTTGGTAGCGGGAGAGCACCCGTCGATTGTAATTCACCAATTGCGAGTGGGATTTTCTCCTTGCATAACTATTCTGTGTCAGACCCTGGGGATTATAATGACATCATAGATGTGGACTGTCAACCTGTATCTGATATCGTGTGCACACTTCTATTCGCTTTGACCTAGTTGCTGCCATTTGTTCACAAGTGGGGTATGTGCGTATGTTTACCGGCCGCTTTCATGGTGTAGGACATTATATCACGACACCAAGTCGAAGATGCCATTCACACCCGCAACCGCAAACCCGCTCAGCGGAGGAGGGGACCCGTCAGGTCAAACGCACTTTCAGGCTCCGGAATCAGACGAGTACGAGGCAGGGTTGACCGTGATTGGAGAGTTCGACACGGTAGAGTCATTCTGCCGGTACTTCAACTGGTTGAAGCCCCCATCGCGGCTGGAGCGCAACTCCAACTACCATTTGTTCAAGTCCGGCATCAAGCCGATGTGGGAGGACCCGGCTAATGCAGAGGGGGGCAAGTGGGTGTTGACGATGAAGAACAACCCGCAGCTGTTGGACCGTTGCTGGAGCTGGCTTGCCATGGCGCTTGTCGGCGAGGACCTAGACGAAAGCGACGAGATTTGCGGTGCGGTTGTGAGTCTGCGAAGCAAGGTGGACCGCATCCAGCTCTGGACGCGCAGCAAGGACGAGGTCGAGAAGATAAATGGCATCGGACGCAAGCTCGTGAAACTTTTAGACGTCTCCGAAGCAGATGGCATCGGTCTTGAGTTCCAGGTACGTTCCCTTTTACCTGAGGCGGCTTTCATTAAAAAAAGAAACTCACGATGACTGGTGCGTTAGTATAATAGCGATGAACGTCCGGTGCCGAATAAGTACTTGAGCATTCAATCGCTCCCTCAATCGTCATACCGTACCTCGTTCCAGGGCAAGAGCAGCCCCATGGCTGCACCCGGTGAGGGTCCTGGCTTGCCCGCCGCTCCGGGTGGCGCGTTTGCAGGCTTCGGTGTTGGTGGTGGAGGCGTACTGGGATCCGGTTGGAGGAATAAACAGCAAAGGTCGTGAATCATGAGGGCATTTGACTAAAGGCATTGGTGAATTGTACCGTTCAGAGGTCTTGATCAATGATTGAAGTGTACCGTTTGTACTAGGATTCGTTCTGATGATACAATCATATTTATGCAATATAATGTAGTAAAGTATGGTATACAGGACAACAATTCTCAAGAATGTCTGGGAGAATCAGGTGGCGACGATATTTCGGATGAGGACATAACAGGGCTTCCATTAGGAGTGCGTTCCGTCAAGTCTGCAATCATGTATTTGGTGCGATATCTAATTGGTAAGGGAGGCACTGATTTCGTCGCCATTGGCGCTGCTCCATAAACCATATTCATTCGTTTTGTTCTTTTCCGATTGGGTTCATCCACGACTGCAAGGGGAGCGTCTGCATGACGTGGTGGTTTCCATGAGGCCGCCTTCTTATTGAGGTCCAGAACGAGCTCATTGAACCACCTTTGTCGTCTCACTTCGTTGTCCGAGGTTACATGACCTCTTGTCCAATAATTAGGCTTCGCTTTGGTCCGCTGTCGACTCAGCCAGTCCTCGTTCCACAACGCATCTTCGGTACCGGAGACAAAGAACAGCCGGTATGTGCGCACACAAATCCGGACGTCGAGTCCTCCGCGTACGACGATATCTGTCGTAGCAGCTTCTGGGTCCAATGAACTAGAGCAATGCTTTGTGAGAGCTTAACGTGAAGGCACAGTGAAACGCCTCACCGACGCAAAAACGGACGTCTGCTTGAAACGGACGTCGGCACGTCCTTTGTCACCTCGTCCTGCAAGAGATCGCTCATAAGCGTACAGCCCTAGCTGAAGCGACCTTGCTTACTGACGTTTACGAACGAATCAATGTAGGCTTGCCATCGTCCAGTAAGAACTTCAGAATCGTCGAAGCTCGAGTCATCCTTTCCAAGCAGCTGGACCGTCACCGCACTGTTCTCTGGTAGCTGCAAAGATGCTGATGAACAGATTCAATGTAAATATATTGGAGACGACTTACCCAATCCATGCGGAATAGATTCTCATCAGGACCGATTACCTTCTCTGTATTCCGCCTGGCGTTGATTTGATCCTGAGTCGTTGGGGATGTTATCTCACGATCACGACGAAGGAGTTCAAACAGCTCTTGGCTTTTCACATCCGATAGAATATTTTGAACCTGCAAGAACAAATGAGTAATTGTCAATACAGACACGGCGGTTTGATCCATACCTGTTTGATAACCGCTCCAACCACTTTGTCAATGGTGAACATCTTGTAAGCATCCTGCCCCAGATGTGAACATGAGGGGACACATAACAAAGAGCCACAGCTTACCCTTGGACCAAACATCCATCGTAGTTGGTCTTCAAAAGCATGTTGCTCGATTTCGTTGTCGAACAGCTTCTCGCAGGATTCCAGTAACAATGGATAGAAGTGAGTTGCTGCAGTCTCTGGATCACCGAACTTGCCTAAATCATTCAAGAGCCCCAAGTCGGCAGCCACAGGGTTCGACTTATGAGAAGTAGAAGGGTCACTTGCTATCCGTGTCGCCAGCTCCCGGAAGGAGTATAATCTTGAATATAGAAGCTATGCAACGTTAGGAGAACATCACATTATAAGCGCGAAATCTACACACCTCCAACAAGCGGAAAAAGACATAGAACGTGGTGTTCGTGTAAAAGCTATAACGCCGCCGGTCGGGCAGCTTCTCGCCGTCAGACGCGGATGGTGGGACGGCTTCGTTGCTCAGGCCTGAGTGTTCCTGTTTGCCCTCATCTGCATCAGATTGCATCACGACGTCGGATCCGGAAGGGGATGGGAGGCGCGAAGTAGGACGCGACCCCTGCGCACGGGTTCGACGGCTCGACTTCGCCTGTTCGTTCTTTAAGAGCTTCTTGCGCAGATCACCAGAGCCAGCCCCAGCTTTACGACTAGATTTCCCGGTTCGCGCACTGCTTGAACTGCTCCCCACGTCCACGTCGTCCGCTGTGCTGTCGACGTCCATGTCGCTATCAGCACTCTCATGACGAGGAACAAATGCACAATTAAATGTTGCTGGATCTTGTACAAGGAACAGGGGGACAAAGGCTCTGATGAAGGTCTCGATTTTTCGCCTGTCAGCGAGATTGATTTGCGTACGGTCCAAGTATGACAATGTCATCTTGATCGCGTCCTGCATCACCGTCATGTCGTCCAGCACGTACTCCAGCTGGTGCCGCGGCCGTGTACGCGCAAAGAGGGGGTCAATCAACGCTGCGCGTTTAGCCATTTGTTCGTCTCTTGCCGTCTCGATCTGAGTGAGAAAGTGCCTGGCTGTGATGGCTTTCTTGTCCGTAGCTTTGAACGTGACACCCTGATGGTCAAGGGATTTGTGATAGTTGCGCGCATCAACCTCCCGCCAGACCTTGTTCCACTCGCGCTGTGCTCGCTTCCACTCTTCGTGCTTGACTTTGAGCCGCGAAAGTACAACAGGGATCGCGAGGGAAGGCGCTTCCTGCATCGCCTGATAGACCTCCAGTCCCGCCTCCCGCCCGTAGATCTTCTTGAGCACCCTTAAATGTATGCTGCGCCCTGCGCCACCAAGGTTGGGCTTCAGTTTGAAGCCGTTCCGCTCCTCTGGGCTGAGCTGCGCGATCTTGTTGTTCAGCGGCTCAAGCATGTGGATTGTGCGATAGATGGCCTCCAAATGGAAGTCATATTCATGTCGCTCCTCCTCGCTACGATGCAGCGCTTCTTCGTATATGTTCTTCTTATGTGCCTGGAATCCAGCATCTTCGCTGGCAAAAGTTGGCTGTGATATCCACTCGTCGTTCAACACCGACCTGCACATCTCATCCCGTCCCGAGCAAGTCACGTTGATCTCCTGTCATAAGGTATGGATCAAATAGTGAACAGATGCTGGCGAGACAGCATACTCACGTTCGCAGGAAGCTTTCTATAACTACCATGGCGATAGTTCAACTGGTTCCTACTTGGCCGATCCAGCGCAGCCAAAGGCCTTGTCCACACATCATCTGCCACAGCAATCCTGTCTCGTCGCTCATCCCAGCCCAGAATGTCCATGAACTGCATCATGAGATCGCCATCGCCAAGAAATGACCTGCTTTCGCGCACTAGCCGCGCTGTATCAATGATGTCCTGTGTGAACAGGTTGATCAGCTTCAGAAACTCGTTGTAAGTCTCTCGATTATCTACTGCGCGTTTCACGCGGTCGAAGAAGTGAGCCTCGTCTGCAGAGCTCAGTGGGGGAGGCGGAGCCGCCGCTACTGGTATCGGCGGAGGTAGTACGGGCTGAGGCAAGTGGTGATGGCCGCCCTGTTGAGATGTATGCGCATGAGAGGAGCGCCTGGGAGAAGAAGGAGCAGTAGCATGGCGCTGTGTAAGTGAAGGAGAAGAAGCATCGTTGAGATGCAGTTGAGATGGTCTTGCCCTCTTTGCCTAACAATGTCAGCAACATGCTGGCTTGCATACCAAGAATAATCTCACCTTGCTCGGGGGCGCCTTTGGAGCTGCCTCCTTCTCTGTTTCCTTTTCCTTATCTTTGTCCTTCGTTTTGTCCTTGTCCTTCTCTTTTTCTTTCCCCTTCTCTTTCTCTCTTTCCTTCTCCTTTTCAGCGGGCCGTCGTTTCCTCTTTTGGGGCACAGTAGACCCTGTCACTGACGCTGCGCCCGTGGATGATTCTTCACCTTTCTTTCTCGACGCCTTTGGCTCGGCAGTTGGCGTACCTGTCCTCCAAAGACCCTCCATTTCTTCCAAGCGCGCTAGCTCGACCTCTTGGGCTTGCTTATTCGGAAGAAAGTCAATCAGCTCTTTCATCAACGACGGGGCATCACGGAACAGTTTTGCAGTGCTCCGCACGATTTCGCCTTGTGCACATCCGGCGGACAAGAATGCGATTGCCCAGTGCTCGAGCTCTCGCACGTCGTAATTGGAAGCCATGTCTGCTTTCGGGTTCAAGGTTTCGAGAAACTTGCGATATCTGTCAGGCTCGTTTGCATACCGTGTCTTGACCCTCTGGATGTACATCAAGGCGGGCTCCAGATTGACATCGTGCGAAGGCTGATGCATCGGTACTTCAATGTGCGAGGCGGGGAGTTTGGGGCTACTTGGCCCTTGCGAGAACGATCCATGAGTGGGCCACGTGGTCGTTCCCGCTGGGGTAGTGACTGTGATGACATTCGGGTCGAGGGAGTCAGTGTTGCAGTCGATGCGATAACCTGCGGGAAGGAACGTGTTGAAACCTTGGATCAGGCTAGGGTGGCCATGAAATAAGCTTGACACGCGATCAATGACACCGGGAGTGTCGATGCTGTACGAGAATGAGCATACGTCGTGGATTATACGAGTTGAGGGCGTACATTTGGCTCTTAAAATCCTTCATGATGTCGAGAAACTTGTTATACACGTCCGGTCTGTCCTGGAACTTCAACTTGACAGAATCGAGATATGTAAGGGCGTCCGTCACGTTCAACGGTCTTTCAGTCGCTGGTTGATGTGCGTCTAGATGTGTGGCAGCAGCCAAGCCTGATGAAAGGGCGTTGCTACTAGAGTTGGAAATGTCGCGAGACGGTTGGAGTTCAGAGGTAGTCGAGGAAGTCTCCTGTGCGGTTGTGAGGGAAGATACAGACTCTGCGACTGCAAGTGCAGATTGGATGCCCTTGGACTCGCCCTCCACGCCTCCCGAGCTCGGGGGAGGATTTGAAGGCTCACTGTCGAGCATGACTGATAGACTGCCAAGACTCGTTCGCGTTCTAAACAGAGAAACTTCTGTAATGCACAAATGTGAATCCGAGGGCAACTTACGAGTAACAAAGGCTGAGACTGCTTTCGCTCCAGGCTGCTCAGCGGCGTCAACGTAACGGTAAACTTGGTCCCCGGACGCGAGCGCTCATATGGTGATCGGGATAGCGTCACGTGGAGGAGACTCACTTGCCCGATCGGGATGCCCTTCATTCGAAAATCCTTGCGATAGCCTCAAAAAATCCCAAAAAACTCCGCAAAAATGTGGAAAAATCATCTTGTTCAGGGGCATGTGGTGTAGTTGGTTATCACGCTCGCTTATTAGCGAGACCAAACACAGAACCCAATTGCGAGACCCAGCACAGAACTCGGCCGCCGACCATCTTTCGCGCGCAGCGCGATGCCGCCGCACGCCTCGAGTACCGACCATCGCGATGCGCCGCACGCCTCTCGACCATTTTTCGCGCGCAGCGCGATGCCGCCGCACGCCTCGAGTACCGACCATCTTTCGCGCGTAGCGCGACGCCGCTGCCCACCTCGACCATTTTGCATGCCTCTCGACCATTTTTCGCGCGATACTGCCCGTTGCCGCACGCCTCTCGCCGCCGCCCGCCTCGACCATTTTGCATGCCTCTTGACCATTTTTCGCGCGCAGCGCGATACTGCCGCAACAGAACCCAATCGCGAGACCCAGCACAGAACTCGGCCGCCCCGACCATCCGCACGCCTCTCGACCATCTTTCGCGCGCAGCGCAATGCTGCCGCACGCACGCCTCTCCCGACCATTTTTCGCGAACCTAACCCTAACCCTCTCTCTCGCTGCCGCACGCAGGCCTCTCCCGACCATCTCTCGCAGTCCCCCCCTCTCGACCATCTTTCCGCCTCTTGACCCGCCGCATGCCTCTCGACCATTTTTCGCGCATAGCGCGACGCCGCCGCCCGCCTCTCGACCATTTTACCGAGACCAAGCATGACCATTTCTCGCGCGCAGCGCGATGCCGCCGTCCCCCCTCGACCACTTCGCACGCCTCTCGACCATTTCCCATTTCTCGCGCAGCGATGCCACCGCCATTTCTCGCGAACCTAACCCTAACCCTCTCTCTCGCTGCCGCACGCACGCCTCTCCCGACCATCTCTCGCGGTCCCCCCTCTCGACCATCTTTCGCGCCGCGCCGTCCGACCATCTCTCTCTTGACCATTTCTCGCGCTGACCATTTCTCGCAAACCTAACCCTAACCCTCTCTCTGTCGCCCACACGACCCACCGAACGCATCCACGGACGATACCGACGGCTACGCTGCGCCGTCCACGCCTACAGAACCCAATTGGCGAGACCCTCGGCCGCCCTGACCACGCGCTGCGCCGTCTGACCATCTCCCCCTAGACTGAGCACAGAACCCGGCAGCACCGCCCCCCCTCTCTGATGCACCCATCGCGAGGACTGTCTTGTACGTGAACCTAACCCCTAACCCTGCGCCGACGTCGTGTCGCTCGGCCACCCACTGCCCGCCGTCGCGATCCCGCTACCGACCGCCCCTCCCTTTCAAGCCACGTGACCACCGACTGCTAACCCCATCCATCCCTCTCTCGGCTGCGCCCCTGTCCTCGTACGCTGTGCCTGCCACATGGCCAAGTCTGTTCGCCCAGGTCCACTTCTCTCGCCGGCCGTGTCCGTCCGTTATGCCAGGCCTCCCCGCTGACGTCCAAGCATTGCTTGGACATGGTCATGTGGCCCCAGGAACCACTCGCACGGCCAACCCATTTCGTGCACGCAAAGCGCACGCACTTCTTCCAATGCGGTCCCCTCTCGCCCCACGCACTTCTTCCAATACGGTCCCCTCTCGCCTTAGAGTGATGAGGGGCGTGCGCCGTGCGTTCGTAGG